CAGTGTCAAAATTGATGCTAGTATTCAAATATTTATTGGCCTGGGGAAATACTGACTTTATATCATTTACCTGTTTTCCTACTAATATTTTTTAGCCACTTGAGATCAAGGAATCTGAGAGAAGCTCAGAAAGAAGGAACACAAGTGCTTTAAGATGTTTATCTTTTTGTTTGGTCTCCTTTAGTTGAAGTTTCACAAGAGGATCTTTAGCTAAAAAATGTGTTTTTAACTTAAATGTGGTGGAGGACAGAGCCCTGACCTGGGAATTGAGAGACCTGAATTCAATTCTTGGTTCTGTCACTAGCAAACTGCATGACTGGGTAAGTAAATTCAGTAAACCCCATGCGAGGTGATGGATACGGTTTGAGCAAGTCAGAATGAAGAGAAAGCATGGAGACTGCAGGAGATGACACGTATGTGTTTCGGAAGTTATGAGAAATAACTTTCTTAGCTATGCCTGGTACCCCTTCCCTCCAACCCACGCCCTCACAAGCCCACCAGTGACGTGTCTTTTCCTGACAAGTCTACACCCTGCCCGTTCCCTTCAATTGCAACTCACATCTTTCTTCCGAAAGTTGAACTGACGCTTTGCTGAGTCACAATAATCAGTGGTCTCTGGATATGGTGCAATCACCCAGACTTTGCTCACACCAGAGAGAGAAATTCTGGCCCAGTAACTTGAATACGCTCCTCTCAGGAATTCTTTTGTCTCAGCCCTAAAATCCTAGGGAGAAGTTTCAGTTCAGGAATATGGTCTTCCAGGTGAGATTTCTGTTCTTGGAGTCTTCCGGGTTTTACTTCACTGGGATGGTTTTGTTTCAACCTGGATGTAGTAGCCACATTTCCCTTAGCTGGAATCTACACTTGGGAGTCCCAAGGTTCAAGTGCCTTTTCTAAATTCCAATCAAGGCTGCTGAAGAGCGAGACAATGCTGCAGGAGGCAGAAAGAGCCTAGAAGCCTCGATTATGCCTTGGGACCTAAGGAAAATAAGTCCAAAGGTTTGATTATCAAAATACAGAGTATAATTGCTTTCCAGGGCACACACAAGGCAAGTCGTCATGCCATAGAAAACCCAACAGGTGTAGGTAGAGGGGAATGTATATTACAAAGATCATGAGACTGGGAGTAAAACAGATCTCATTTCAAAACTCAATTCATTCACCAGAGAATAAATCACCCTATTCTCTGGTGAATGAGGTTTTAAAATGTGCTCTAGTACACCAGAAATTGACACAACATTGTAAACTGACTATACCTCAATTTAAAAAAAAGAGCTCCAATAGGGGTGGCAATACCAACTTCAAAGCCTGGCTGGGAGGGCTGAATGAGAGCTCTAAAAATTCTCTGTAACATTGAAAGCAAGGAATACACATCGAGGGTGTATTATACTCTGGGCTTGCTCATCACAAGTGCTATCTCCTTTCACATCGGAACAAGCCTGTGAGGGAAATATTATTCCTACCTTCATGTCACAGATGAGGAAACAGGATTAGCCTAAATAACATGCCCTGGGATGCAGTGTTTTATGGCAAGACCTGACCTGAACCCAAACATCATGCTCTTAAAACTTCAAACGTCCCCACCCCCCACAGCCCCCTGAAATCGTTTCCAGTCAAATCTGCACCCTGGCCGTTCCTTTCAACTGCAGCTCACCTCTTTCTTCTAATAAATGCTTAGTATAAAACAACTAATATGATTATAATGTAAGCTTCTATATTAAAATTTCGCCCACTTCCCTGACGTCCTCCAGTACTCTTCAAACCAGCCGGGCAGTCGGCTACCCAAGTGCATCAGCGGAACTTTGGGGATCAGATTTTAGCCGTTTGGATGCACAAACCTTTCACCTTCACAGAGCATCTTCTTCAGGCAAAGAAGGGCTGCAGGGAGCGCCCGCAATGAGGTCTGCAGGTAGGGAGCCCTGCCCTCGCTGCCTTTCTCTGGGACCATGGGAAACCCGCCTCGGGGCCTCCGTGGAGAGGGCGGCGGGGAGAGCGCGCGTCCACGCTCTGTGGACCGAGCCCAGCTCCACCCAGCCCCTTCCCCGCCAGCCCCCGAGGGCCCGGAGCTCCCCGCCAGCGCTTTAACTTGGGAGTGCCCCCGCTTCGCTCCTAGTTCACCACCAGGCCCAGATGACGGCGGAACGACGGGCTCCGGAGGCCGCAGGACCCTCCCCAGGAAGAGTCTGGAAAACAGGAAAAGAGCGCCCAGGTAGAGATCCAGGACGGCACATGCGCAGAAGAGGCATGCCCGGTTTCCCAATGCGCGGTCGACTCCTTTCCAGACTACATCCCCCATAAGGCACCGCGACCGCCGCCCAAAGCTGAGTCCTCTCTAGATGAGCTTTTTGCTTTCATGACCCAGCTTGGTTGATTGCTAGGAGCCATTAATACGGAAAGAAACGTTGCAATATTGACTTCACTGAACACTGTAGATGAGAAGCGAAGATTACAGACTATGAAATGTCCTCCAAAATGCTGATGATACCAAAATCCTTATCTTTCTCCCAAATTCCTCTTATGAACACCAGAGGTATAAGTCCTTTATTCTTTCTACTGTTTTTCCACTCAACATCATTGGAGAATATCACCAAAGAAAGAGCCTAGAAGCCTTGATTATGTCTGATTTTATTTTTGATGTATTTCCCTTCTTAAAAATCTCCTTAGTGTTTCAGTAACTTCTGCCTGTCTTCCAATCATTCCTTCTGCCATCTTGGCATCTGTATTAGTTTGCTAGGGCTGCAGTTAACAAGGTATGACAGACTCGGTGGCTTGAACAATAGGAATTTATTGTCTCACAGTTCTGGAGGCTGTCTCTGTGTCCAAATTTAGTGCCCCTCTGTCCTTTTTTTTTTTTTAAGTAAGGACACAGTCATATCAGATTACGGTCCATCCTAATGACCACATCTTAACTTGATCATTTGAAAAGACCCTATTTCCAAATAAGGTCACATTGACAGAGCAGTTAAAACTTTATCTTTTAGGGGAACATAACGCCATCCTACAATCTTCTATTTAATAAAATTAAGTTCTATTAGAATAAAATTAATTAGGACTTAATGTTTACTTTGATATGTGCATGGACGTCTCTCTTCAGAGTTATTTGGGCAATGGGACATAAGTGGGTCTTGCAAGGGTAGAAATCTCAGCACTGAATTTAAGGTGGAGATGGTGAATCTCAGGCTGATTCCAGCATTTAGGTGGTGTGCCAATAAACATTTGTTTAATGAATGGTTTTAAAAAATAGAGGGGAAAATACTGCCAGAATGAGGGCGGGGAAAAGGGAAAAGTGATAGAGAGCAGAATGGGGTTTGAGTTCTGTAGCTTCCCAAGTCCCCATTTCCACGGCTCAATCCTGTCAGTACAGAGCTCAGGGACTGTGCTCAGAAGTGATGAATTAGTGAGGATAGTGTACGGGGAGGGGAGGGGAAAGGCAAGGAGGTGATGAGAGAAGAGCCAGGATGGCTGGAGGGAGGCTGGGTAAGAGGAAGAAAATTGTTACATAAAAAAGGTAGACCGGCAGGCAGATATCGTATAATGCAATTTCCACTCTGGCTACCAGGTGACAGTATTAGCGTGGACTGGCGCTCATTGACTACCAAGATGAACTTTGTTGCTTTGGCAGAAGGCTCCTGCTGCTGTTAAACCTGGGTCAACTCATGTGGAGGCTATGGATTGCTGTGGGCTTTTTTGTTTATGTTTGGTTCTCCTGACATCTATCTGCCTTTTTCTGATAAACAAGTACTTCAATTTTCCTTTGGGAAATTAGCCCACTGCTGTCACTGCTTTTACTGCTTCCACTGCCACTGATTCACAGGTACCACTGTTGCTGTTGCTAATATACATAAAGCACTCTCCCCGTGCATTTATATCAGTCACTGAAGATTCAAGTCCTGAGGCATCTGATTGGCTGAACCCAGGTCACGTGGCCCATACCCCAGGGGCAAGGAACAGAGAAAATGAGTATCTGGCTTTTCAGCTTTCTTTAACAAGAGAAGGTGCCCTGCCTTCTAGCCGGATTCACAAAGTGGATAATTTCTCATATACAAAAGGGATGTTCAGAAGTCAGGTAACCAAAATGAATGAATGAGTGATAGATGTCTAATACAACTGAGGCTCTCTTATACACCCATGTCACTTTACAGATGATGCCCAAAGAAAAGCCTAGTGTGCAATGAGCAGCATTGTCCCCCCAGACATTCTCATGGGGCTGCCTAAGTCATGGAGGGGGAAGAGCTTTCCTCTTAGCACCCGTGAGACCAGAGGTCCTTTCCTCAGCAGAAGGGACTGAATCTTCCCATGGTTCCCAATGACCCCGGGGCAGCTAGAGTTCCTAGTTAACTCCTGTGAAGCACAGGCAGCCCCTGTCCGTTCTGCCTGGTGTCCAGGCAGTTTGTTGTGTCCCTTCACTGATGAGGATGCATTGACTTGCTCCTGATAGGAAGGGAGAGCAGAAGGGGTGCAATCCCTCCACCAAAACAAAACTTACACTGCGTGTCCAGTAAGGTCCCCCAGGGCCCCTCAATCTTCTCCATGGGGTAATGGTAGGATGGGGGAGCCACTCATTTTCTTCCTCCCTGACTGTAAACTTGAAGCTTATTATTTACACAGTAAATCCTCTTACCCTAACCCATGCTGTGAGAGGTCTCTGAGTCTTTCCTGAGCCCTATTGGATGGCAAGTGGAGACCCTAAAAGGACCCCCTTGCCAATAATACTTTGCTGAGGTCCTACAGCTGCCTAGACTACTGAAAACACACACACACACCCTCTGGCCCATCTGACCCTAATTTCCCTTTCTGCCCCATCTTCCCACCTCAATGCTACCTTCTTTATCTTGGTTCCCTTGGTACCCAAATCCTTCCTTTTAGGGGAAATGAACAGTGACCCTCTAGGTTTGTGCAGTGCACAACTTGTGCACCTTTACCGAACAGCCCTGGACACCACTCTCTCCTCCAACAGCCATGTTTCCCCAAATGCACAGAGAACCCTTTACTCAGTAGGGTTAAGAGGATGGACTTTGCCCTAAGGTGCCAGGATCCCCTCCCTGCCTGGACATCAGGCTCCCTGGTTCCTTCCAAGAACGCAGTCTGTGCTGGGAATAGTCTTTGATGACAGGGCAGCAAACAAGGGTGGCCTCCTGGGTTGGGAGCTTGGGCTGGGTCAGCCTGCACTGAAATAGCCCATGGAAGGCCTCCCGGAAGCGCTGGGACATGAGGGCATAGACGATGGGGTTGATGGCGCTGTTCAGGTAGATGCAAAGGCGGCAGAAGAGAAGGAAGCCGAGGTTGAGGTAGGGCGGGCTCAGGAAGGAATTCACCACCACCAGCGTGCGGTAGGGCAGCCACAGCAGAGCAAAAAGGATCACCACCACCACCAGCATCTTGGTGACCTGCCGGGTAAGATAGGAAGAAAGGAAGGCATGAGTGCCAAGGGAAAATCCTGGATGCCCGCTCTCCCTGTGAGCTTGCAAGAGTGATCTAAAAGAGCATCCGGGCTTCACCGAGCTGTGCCCTCGTGTGTGCCCTCCCTCCTACTCCATCCTCACCTGGTAAACCATTATGCACCCTGCTCAAGTCATTTTGACTGGGAAGCCCCCCAGCTTCTGTCCACCTCCAAAGCCTTTGGATGGGCCACTGTGTACTGGAAGCAAATTCATTCATCTGCTGAGCGTCAGTCTCTTGCTCTGTAAGATGGAGACACAGTACTGCCACCATCATAGGTGGACATGAGGATGAAGGAGTCAATGTCAGTAAGGAACGTAGAGCAGCGCCAGGCAGGTAATAGATGCTGCTGTCCTACCGCTGCTAACATAACCTCTACTGTGACTACCATTGCAACCACATGAGGTTCAGAGCTGGGTTAGAACCCTGGGTCCCCAAACCACAAACCAGCTGTTCTGCCTTCAACATGCCACTCTCTCTCCAGCTGCGTCCTCCTCTGCCCAGCCTTCCCAGCCGCATGCTCACCTCCGGCTCTTTCACGCATCCCGCTCCCTCCCTCCTGACACTCCTTCCCGCCTTTGCCCTTGACCACCTTTGCCCTTGACCTCCTTTGCCCCACTCCCCTCTCTTCACCTCCTAACTCTTCCGATTTTGGCCAGCGATTCCCTGACAGTTTAGACTAAATAAAGCCTCCTAGAGGTGGTACACACTAGAAGGTGTTCCAAAAGATTCTAAATTCTGGTACAAAATTGTCACAGGGGCATCTGTCAAAGGAGACGGGACATCCCTAACACCGGGGAGGACCACAGCGCCCATGTGCCCTTAATCCTGGCGTCCTCAGTGGCCCTTCAGAGACCAAAATGTGGGTAGTAAAAGTTCACTTACTGGAGCTTAAATTGCTCAAATAGTCCTGGCACTGGTTCTGTCCAGAAAACCCTGGATATATTTAATCAGCTCTGGAGAATACGGGAGAGAGAACTTTCTCAGTCAAGAAAGCAGCTAGCCTGGAACGTTCCAGAATATGATTACTTCTCAGGGCCCATGAGTTTGGTTCTTTTGAGCAACCTATCCTAAGAGGCTTGGCTCTGGCTAAGTCAATAAACTTCTGCACTTGGATAGTCTCCAGGAACCATGAAACCTCAGAATTACCTCGTAGGCCTTGGCTCCTGATTTTACCAAATTCAGATCCCGTTTCATCCCATTTTAGGTTCATTTGGGTGATAAATACTGGATAGCAGTGTGTGGGCTCTACAGCCAGGTTGCTGGGGCTCAAATCTTGGTTCTGTAATCTTGGGCAGACTCTCTGTGACTCAGTTTCCATTGTAGAGTTGTTGTAAAAATTCAAAATGAAAACTTGGGTAAAGCACTGAGACCAGTGCCTGGCACACAGCAAATACTCAATAAATGTTAGTTGCTGCTGTTGTTGTTATTATTAATCTCCACCTTACGCTGGGCTTCCTGATTTCCTCTAATGCCTCTTCCCTGTTGGAACTGTACATTGCATTCTGCAAGGACTCTCTTAGGCATGAAAGGAACACTCGGTCCATAAACCCTCTCCCCAGCTATCAGAAAAGACATTAATGCCCCAACAAAACAATAAGAATATATTGTACCATATATCAAATACTCACTCTATGCCAAATTTATAATATTCACCACCAACCACTGAGGTGGGTGGGCACTATAATTATTCTCATTTTACAGAGGAGGAAATCAAAGCTCAGTGAGGTGACATGACTCACCCAAAGCCACACAGCAAGATATTAGCAAAGCGAGGGACCAGAAACCAGGTCTGCAATACTCTTTCCACCACCAGAAGTTTCACCTAAAGCATAGGTTAGGCAGAAGGTTGATCCCTTCCAGGTTGAGCCAGAAGGTGATAAACAGTAGTAAAGAAGCCAGTGGAAGGAAAGGAGTTGCATTTGTCTGGACCCAAAAGTTAATATTTCAAACCTGCTCAGCCCGTGTCCTGCCCTCTTGCCTCTAAAAACTGCTTTGAGCTAAGGTGCCTGCAAGCAGGATGAACCAAAGGGGCTGTCTGGGGCAGCTGGAAGAGCCCCCTACAGTGTGCCCAACCGAGAGGCAGGGAGATGCCACAGGGAGCCCTTGCCTGACTCAGGAGTGACTCAGCCAGGACGAGGTGTCCTCCCTCCGCCCCCAAGAGCTGAGGGTGCGGGTGGAAGGCTGAACATAACGATCAGCTGGGACCAGAAAACTCTCCTCCTGGGAAACACTGGGGACGCCACTCTGCTGGGGCAGGGGTGGAGGATATAATGCTTGGGTTCCTGTGCCCAGTCACCTCTCTTGCTCCCTTGTCCCTTCCAAGCCTGTCTCTTTGTCCATAAAAATAGATATTAAACCTCCCAAACAAGGATAATATCAGGAACCATCACACATCAGGCACACAGTAAGTGCTCAGTAAATGCTGGATTTCTCCCCCCGTCTCCCCAGAACCCATCCTCCTCCTGGGCACTCAGACTGTCCCAGAGCACTGAGGCAGCTTTAGGGTCCGAGGGAGTAGTATGGTCTTGAGAAAGTCACTCCCCCTCTCTGAGCCTGTTTCCCCATAAGTAGAAGATGGAGAGTAACAGCTATGGCGGAGGTAGTCTTTGAGGAAGTTTAATAATAAACCAACATGAATTTAGCGTCTAGCTTGTGACACTGACTCTAAATGGGTTAGGCCATTTCTGTGGACACGCCAACGTGATCGGCACTGCCATTACCTCACACAACAGGAGAGGAAACTACGGCTCAGAAAGGCAGAAGTGATGTCTCCCAAAACCAGGATTTGAACTTGAGTTTGACTCCAGAAGAGCTCAAGCTTGCATCCACCAATCTGCTGTCTCAGTACAGGCATCCGAATGAGGGAGGTCCCTACCTGCTTCCGGGAGTTGAGGGCACCTCTGCTGCCGCGGGAAGAGAAGCGCCCTTGGCCAGCGGGGCCACCCTGGTGCGCAGAGCCCCAGCGTCCCGGATCGCCCGGAGGCAGCGGCCCCGCGAAGAGGACGCGCGCTATGAGCGCGTAGAACACGGTGGCCAGGCCCAGGGGCAGCGCGTAGAAGAGCGCGAAGTCCAGGAAGTAGACGGGCAGGTAGAGAGAGCGCGACACGCGGTAGCCGCACTGCACCTGCACGCCGTCGGCGTACGAGGTCTCGCGCGTGTCCGCCAGGAAGAGCCAGAGCACGCAGTAGGCGCCGGTGCCCAGCCACACCGACGCCGCGACGCGCTTGGCCCGTGGCACCGTACACAGAGCCTGGGCGCGCAAAGGACGGCAGATGGCGAGGTAGCGCTCCACCGTGAACGCGGTGATGGAACCTGTGGACGCGTTGATGCCCACATACTGCAAATAAGTGATGCCCAAGCAGCCTGCGTGGCCAAAGACCCAAACACGGGCAGATGCCGCCTCGGCCACGGTGGGCACTCCGGCCGCCAGGAGCACCAACAGGTCCGCGGTGGCCAGGCTCACCAGGTAGCAGTTGGTGGGTGTGACCATGTGGCGGCTCCGGACCACCACCAGGACCACCATGGCGTTGCCTGCCATGCCCACGGCGCACACGAGGGGAACCAGGGTCAAGGTCACTGCCTGTACAGCCAACGGAGGCCAGGGCATGGGGCCCAGAACCGACGCGTTCGCGCGTTCAGGGTGCTCTGTAGGTTTCTCCATTCCCAGGTGTCCGCGCAGCACCCCGAAGGCAGCAGCCAACTGGGGAATTACTCCCAGCTGCAAAGGTGTCCTCGGGAGATCTGGGGATGCTCTTTGTGCGGGAAGCTGCGAATCCGGCAGCTGTTTCCAGCTAAACTGGTCTTTCCAGCTCCGTGCAGGGTCTCACTGCCGCTATGAGGGTCGCTGGGGACTCCGGGAAATCTGGAAATAGGCGCGCGCTGCTAGGTTCCCAAGAGGACGTTAAGCTGGAGTTAGCGCAGTCTTTCCCGGGGCAGGGTTTACTGCAGGAGCGTGTTCTGGGTTGTAGGGCGCCTCTCCATCCGTGAACCTGGCGCCCGAACGCCGCTTCTACAAGACAGACTGCGGGAGCCCTCTCAGCTCTCACCTCCCCTCTCCAGCTTCGAGGGGCTCAGGTCTTTAAACGGGGGTAGCCAGTCAATAAAGTGCGTAGTGACCCATCTTCGCCTCACTGGTCGTCTTCCCTCTGCTTTCCGTGAGCACCCCAGGCAGGCTCCTCGGCTGGAGTTAGCTTGTCCTCTGCAATGATGCCGCTTAGCTGATTCTGGTTGCCCCAGCCCAGCACCAGTTCTTTCCACCAGCTGCCGGCACGGCACCCTGGACGCTCGGGGTCGGGTGGGGGATGCAGGGTGCAGTAGGGAGGGTTTGTTTAAAAGGCGCAGTGGTGTCTGGCGCCCTGCTTGCGCGCCTTTGCCCTGCGCTTTCGCTCACTCCCTTGTTTCCCTACAGGAGCAGCTCCGCTGGGCAAGCGGGGAGGAGACAGCGACCCGCTGGCTTCCCAACAGGATCCTGGGATCCTATCGCGTTTTCTCTGGCAGAAACCTCAGTCTTGCTGTTGGCAAATGGGGAACCGAGGCCCAGAGCTGCGGGAAGGGAAGGTATTTGCCCACCTAGACTTGGATTGGTCCTGTCTCCTCTTAAACTTTCTCATCTCCTTGTCACCTCTTCACTTTCTCCTGCTTACTTTTCCCAGTTTTCTTTTCTTCCTCCTAAAGAATACCTGAAATTCCTGGAGGGTGAGCCCCACCTTCCCACAAGGGTATCTCCCATCTCCAGGATTGAGTCACTCACAAGGCCCAGACCAGTTAGAAATTTTTAACTCTGTTCATGCTACAGAAAAGGTGCAGAATGGTAGTTGAATGAATGAAAAAAAGTTTCTTCACTAGAGGAATCTTCCTAAAGGTGGGGCTACAATATATACATACATTTTCCCCCTCTCCTTATGTCTGAGTTTGGACCCCAAACTCTCTCTCTACAGATCTGATAAATGGGCAAGAAATGAATGAGAGTGAACTTGGCAGGGGAGTATTTTGGGGGCACCAGCCAGGGTCCAAGACATCCCCCACTGTCAGTCTTTATAACGAATGATGACTGATGTAGATGAAGCACCTAATATAGCCTGGTGATACTCTGTGTGCTTTACCAAGTATTATTTAATTCTATATTCACAACATCCTATAGGGAAGATATTATTAGATCCCCCTTTACAGACGAAGAAACTGAGCCCCAGAGCAGTTAAATAACATGCTCAAGGATTCATAGGGTAGTAAGAGGGGTGGGGTACTAGAATCTGAACCTAGTAATTTGTCCATGGAGTCCACATTCTCACTCACCATGTGTACTACCTCTCTGCAATGTTGTCTGGGGTCTTCATCAGTAATAATAGCAAAGTACCCTACTTGGGGCCAAACACCACAGCAGGTGCCTTACACTCATTATTTCCCACAGCCCTCGCTAGGCAAGTATTATTATTCTCATTTTATAGATGTGGGAATTAGGTCCAGAGAGAAATGATTTCCAGTGTCATGCAGATAATCAGGGGCCACGCAGAAGCAGAACCCCAACACTCCCAACTTTATGCACCCTGCCCCCACCCCAACCCCAGCTGTCCCATACTCACTTTTTCTAAGGTAGCAAATGCCAGTTAAGTCCTGGATGCCTCCTCCCAACAGTAGGGTGTGGCAGTCTTCCCTGAGTGTGATCCAGAGCAATCCTTTTAGCTATATTAATTGCAAGTGGTTCTTCGGGCTTCTCTTCTAAGCCTGCCAGCTGTCTCCTGCCTAATTGAGCTGTTCAGTTGCCAGCAGCAGGGGGCAGTACTTGGCAATGCACTGGATATGTGTAAAATGGAACTCTAGTTTCCCATAATCTACCGCATCCCTCTCTAGTCTTCCTCTTAGTAGTAAGGGCACCAGTTGCTAAAACACCCACCCAGCTGCTAAAACCAAATATTCAGGAGTTATTATTTCTCTCTCGTCCTCACCACTGACATCCAATACCCCACATTGATGGGGATACGTCAGAGAGATACAGGAGCCAACTGAAAGAGCTCCCAATGGGCAAAGCTAGAACAATTGGCTAACAAAATTAAGTAGTATTCTTAGATTATAGCCCGGAGTATAAAGTAGGTATCGCTGATTCCAAACGTATATAAATAAAGGACTTAATAAATAAATGGGGGGGAATAGAGAAATCTCACATGCAGAATTTCGAGGAGTTGATGTAGCTCCTCCTCTCTCAAGGAAGTGGATCCCCACTCTCACCTCTTAGTGTGGTCTGTGTCTAGTGTCTTCTTCCCAAAGAGGAAGACTGGAAAGGAGAGGAAAAAGTAACTTTAGAGTAGAGAAACTTCTGGCAGACACCACCTCAGCCTGGAGATGAAGATTGCATCAACAGTGGCAAGTCATGTTGACAGTAGTCACCCTTCATGTGATGTGATGAAAAATGGCTGTTTACTGCTGCGACCTTCTTTGAAAAAGCACATAACCCCAGTCTAATCACAAGAAAAGCATCAGAAAAATCCCAATTGAGGGGAAGCCTGACCAGTAATGTCTCAAAACTGTCCAGATGATCAAAACCAAGGAAAATCTGAGAAACTGTCACTGCCAAGGGGAGCCTAAGGAGACATGACAACTGAATGTCATGTGACTTCCTGAATGGGATGCTGGAGTAGAAAAAGAACATTAGGTGAAAACTGAAGGAAACTGAATAGAGTATAGACTTTACTGAATAATAACATTAATATTGGTTCATTAATTATAACAAATGTATCATATTAATATAAAATATTAATAATAGGAGAAACAGTAGGATAGGAGATGCCAGTAGCCTGGTGTTTGACAGTCAGGTCAGCCATCCACAAGACCACTGTTTTCTCAGCTCAGTGCCTAGCCCAGATGCCTCCAGTCCTGGGCATATGATTCCTAAGGTAAGAGTGGGGGTGATGCCTGTTTAGTGGGGAAGCAGAGGCTCACTTAGTCATTCAACAAACATTCACTGAGCACCTGCTCCATGCCAGATCCCAGGGATGCGGAAGTGAATAAGATAGTCCTTGACGTGTGCACTCACATAGTCATTCATTTACTCGCTCATGCAATCATTCATTAAACGAATACTACTGTGGACCCAGACACAGTTCACTGATGGTCTCCTACTGTGTTAGGGACTCATCTGGGTCATTGTAATGAACAGTCAACTCTGAATTAGGCAAAGTGGGCATAATTGCTCCCATTTTACAGATGGGGAAACTGAGGTTTAGAGGGATGAAGTGATCTACTTGGTGTTAATGGACAACAAGGGATAAAGTAAGCATTGTAACCAGATCTATCTAGTTCTAAACTCTCCACCAGGCCCTGTCCTTTTCACATCATTTCCATTAGGGGGACACTGTGAACACCAAAGACTTAATTCCTGGCCTCCCAGCACTAATGGTCAAGTAAGGGAGGAAGGCAGCAAACAAACAGATAATTAATTACACTTGTCATAAGAGTTTTGAAGGTATTATGGTAGTGTGTACTGGAGAGCCATATTTAGTCTAGGGTGAGAGTCAGGTAGAGATTCAGGGAATGCATCCCCAAGTTTGACATTTAAGCAGAGTTGGTGGTCATTCTGTTAGTCCATTGTCAATTTCATCCCCCCAAATTCACTTAAGCTACCAGTTTTCTTTTTGCCCAGTACCCACAGAAAATAAATTTTATATAGCGTCTCAGTACACACACACACGCACATGCACCTGGGGCTGAAATAAGTTTTACAAAATTATGCCTATGTTTACCATAAGCAATGTATGCTAGTATTTTCTTTTCTATTTCATGTTTTAGAAATACTGGTTGCGATCTGCTAATTTGGTTCCTGATCCAGAGTTGTGACCCATTCTTTGAAAAACATCTCAGCTGGTCTTGATAAACCCAATTCCCCTAACAGTGATCGGGCTGGGAATAAGCAAGAGACTACTTCTAGTAAATGAATCACAAAGGGCCAATCCTCGGGGGTTCTGGGAAGATTATATTCTTACATAACCAGCTGCAGTGAGAGGGAGGGGGTGGGAGAGAGATAGACAGTCAGGGAGAGAAGGGGAGGGACAGAGCCCCGGCACACACACAACCTTGAGAGCGAGCGCCTCCTTTGATTTTGTGCTCCAAGTGTCTTACTGGCCTCATCTTACTCCCAACCTTGGCTGGAGGAGATGTTGCCACTCTCAGAGAAGGGCTCCCAGATGGAGTCTGTTCCAAACACTTCCAATGAAGCTACATAGGAAGCCAGAAGCAGGCCGAGTAACTGCCCCTGGGTGCCTGGCCCCGGGTGCCTAGAAGTTGGTGCTGGATGCCCACCCCTTCTGCCAATTAAGAGCAGGGATTCTGGGTTTAACTCCCGGCTCTGCCTGCAGCTTATTAGCTGTGTGACTTTCGGGAAAATAGTTAACTTCTCTGAATCTCAATTTTTTTCACCTCAAAAGAACACTAACAATAATACAATTTCATCTACTTCTGTGAGGTTTAAATAAGGTGAGGTACATAAAGGTTTTCACAGATTGGGGCACAACCGATGACGGCCAGCCCACACCAGCTCGTGGCAGCAAGTTGTAGGCATCTTTTTCGAATTCCGCTTCCAGTGATAGCATGTGGGTCACTTGAAATCACCTGGTGGGAGTGTTTATACCATGGATATCAGCAAACACTACAAATGAGCACTTTCTCTTTTCTTTTTAGTTTTTAGAACCAGTCATTAAGCATTTACTAGCCTACTCCCAGCACATCATAAGCACCCCACAAACACTAGCTATTATTATCTGTAATGCTCTGGTTTTTATAAGGACAGGGATTCATATATTATTTGGACAATTTTTTAAAGTGCAGATGAGTCGCTGCCTAAGTGAACAACAAGGCAGCTTTGAGGGAAAGGGAGCTGTGATGGGGGCTGGGTGTTGTGGGAGGCTGATGGTGCCTCTTAGCAATGAGGACAAACACCTTTGGGGAGTGGGTGGAAAAGAGGCTGGACTGTGGCCAGGCTCACTGCAGTTGGTGACTCACAGCCTAAAAATACCCCAGAGCTGGGAGTGCTGGGGGGTAGGGGCAGGCGGTAGTATTTCTGTTTTCCATCCTTTTGCAAACCCAACCACTGATATGTGCCTTTGGATGTCGGTTCCATCAAAGGACAGATCCGATGCCCTGGCTGAAGCTCCACTTATGTGTCTTCCCCTGTGATGACATGTGACCTGCAGGGGGCTCGAGCCACTGAGTCCTGGTATTCAAATAAACACTTTGGCAGCAACATAGACCAAAAGGGAAGGTAATTTTATCTTTACTGGAGTTTCTGAAGGAAACCCTAAGGGAAGTAAAACACCACTCCCCTGTAAAATCCTCTCTCCCCAACCCGGTGTCTCAGTATTTCATACTCCCAGCAGTGGTCCTTCCAACAATCTCTCTTTCTCTTCTTAACTCTAAACTGCTTGATTCACATCTCAAAAGTATCCACCTCTATGGCAAGTGTGATACCCATTCACAGAGGTCAGATTCCTGGGAAAAGAGGAGGTGAGAGAGGGACAGAGGAAGACCTGGAGGGAAAAACAGGGAATACCAAGCCCACAGGGGAAGGAGCTGCGATTTTAATAATTTCGATGGGGTTGGAGTTGCCAGACAAAATACGGATTACTCATCAATTTGAATTTCAGATAAACAGATACAGGTTTCATATAAGTATCCTCAGTTCATACTTACGCTTAACCTGTATTTGTTTTTTATCTGAAATTCTAATGGAACCAGGTGTCCTATATTTTTATTTGCTGAACCTGGCAACCCTAGATGGGAAACCCCTCAAGGAATCTGAAGCCAAGGAGCGACAATCTAATTTAGGATTTAATACATACATTTACTGTATACATTTGCTTGATTTGGTTGATTTTATTTAATATATAAAATTACTCTAAGTAAGTTCAGAAGACTCACGGACATATAAATAAGTTCCAGAGGCATTTAGACACAGGATGCAAAGTCTCCATCCACCTGGTAAAACAGTGGATACAGATTGGAGCCTGGGCAGACCCCCCACTGGCCCCGAGGAACTGTGGGTGTCTCCGCTCTTCCTGGTCTTCACTTTGCACCATCCTTTTCTGGTTATCAAGGCCTTTCACGTCCAATATTTCACTCCGTCATTACCCACATTTCCTTGTGGAAAGTTGGTCACATCAATTGTTATTATGCCATCGCTATGCAGATGTAGAAACTGAGGCTCAGAGAGGTGAAGCAACCTACTCAAGGTCACACAGGGAGGCAGCCGAAGGGCCAAGGTTATAACTCAGGTCTGGGCAACTCCAAAGCTCTTTCTCCTTGGCCCCACTGCTCTCTGTTTATCCAGATATCCATCCAGCAGGCCTGTCTAGCTGTGCTGGATGCTTGCTGCTTGGCCCAGCTGTCAGGAGCAGGATGGAGCGCCTGGGACCAGCTGCTGGCCTCGGAGCCTGTCGTGTCTTCGCTGGAGCCGGGCGTGAAGGTGGCGGACCCTCCTTGCCTCCTGGCTTGTGAAGAAGGAGGCAGCGATGCTGTGCCGCAGGCGGCGGGCGTAGGTCTCCAGGAGGACGGTGGAGCCGGCCACAAGTTGCAGGGCCCCCGCAGCCAGGGGTGCGGCTGTGTGCGGGCGCCGGGCGGGCAGCAGCGGGCAGCCGGCAGCGGTGAAGCGGAGCTCCCAGTGGAAGGATTTGTGGGTGGAGAGGAAGGGGCTCTCTGGAGGCGGCTGGTTAAAGAGGAAGGGGATGAAGCCCAGGACGGTGTATGCAGCCTTCAAAAAGAAGGAAAAAGCAAAGTCAGTGGACACACACCCCAGCTGTTCCCTGCCCCCCAGCACAGACGGCCACTTGTAGGGCTGGCCGAGTCCAACTTTCCCTGCCCTTATCTGCAAAATGGGCCTGGACATAACCCTGGCCTCCAGGGGTTTGAGGATGGCCAAATGAGATCAGGTGTTTGAAATGGGCTTTCTGTTGAATAAAAAGCACTGTACAATTGCTACCTGTATTATTATTATTATTCTTTGGGCAGAGAATATTTAGAGAAAACAAATTCATACTATGGGCATTCACTTTTTGCTGAGCCCTTAGTGAATCCTTCAGATGCTCTAGTCCATCGAATAAGCACAGTTTTATGAGGTCGAGCCCAGTAGGAGCTTCATTTAAAAGATGGGAACTTAAGGTCACACCGTGGATGACACGCGGCCCACCCAAGGGTTAGTCCCAGCCGGGGGGGGGTCCTCCCAATATCCTGCTAGTAAGTATTAGGCTCTCCAATTTCCATGGGGCATGTTGGAGCAAGAAGAGTGGTGTCTAGGGAGGCAGGGAGGTCAGAGCTTAACCGTTTGAGCTTTAGGGCCAGCCTTCGTGGGTTGGATCCTGGCTCTGCTACAGACAACTCCATTAGGTACAGTTGCTGGGGACCCACAGTACTTTGAGGTGCCTACGAAAATGTCTTATTTTCTTTTAAAATCAGAATTAAAATACAGACTGCTAAGTTGAAGAACTATATAATATTAATATATTTGTCCTTATAGTATTAATATATTAGTCATTATACCAATGCAGATATTCATATTTTTAATGGAGAACAGAGTCCATGAAAGTCAACCTGCCTAGGGCCCACCAAAGTCACAGACACAGGTTGGTTCTGCCACGTACAGGTAGGATGAATTTGGACAGATTCACTAACTTCCCTGAGTCTCGGTGTCTTCATCAATAAAATAGTGATGATTGTAATTTCTGTCTTCCTGGATCACAGTGGCGATTAAATGAGCTATCTTGTTTCATCAGTTCTGGGATTCATTTTTTTTTTTCCCACATCTTAACATCTTTGAGATCAAGCGCATCTTCAAATCAATATGACTCCAAACTGGGTTCGGCCATTGTGCTAATTCTTGCTTTCTGAGAGGATCAGAGGGTGCCAGCAGCAAAACCTGCAGAGTAGGTGTCCGCAGTTAGGAGGAAAATGCTGGAAACCACAGTGGAGGATCCCCAGTGCTCTCTCTCGCTCGAAGGCACAGAGAACAGTGAAAAAGCCACAGGCTCTAACAACTCAGCCTGAGTCATTCCAGAGTCAGGCTTGCATGGGAGGACGTTTTAGGAAAACCTTCACAAAATTACTATTTTTCTTGTTATCTTTCCATGAGAAAGATGATAAAGTAAATCTGTATTACATAATCAGTGAACTATTTTATACGAATACAATCAAAGATCTAAATGATAAAGCATTGTCATGGTTTAATTGGCAGCCTTTTCTCATCTAATGATGCATAAAATGATGGCGTGGTTTGCAAACAATGGCATCTTAGATTTGATGAAATACAGAAGATCAGGTAACAGTACAACGCCTAACGTGTTTCTTTACTGTGACCGACAGCAAGAAATGCATTTTATGAAGAAAATTTCGTAGAATAATACATCCCCATCACCTACAATATACTCTAATAAATTTCAAGTCTATTCTATTTCATTCAAAAAAAAACAGCGAGAATAAGCCCCTACACTGATTAAATTGACTTCATGCAATTTGAAGAACACTTTCCTAGTATATAATAAATGCTCAATAAATATTAGCTATTAATATTATTAGCTCAGGGTCTGAGTTTTGGTATGTTTTATGGACTTTTATGTGAGATCTCACTATTTAAAATTAAAAAAAAATAAAAAGATATGTGGCCAAGGGAAAAAAACCCACAAATCTTTATGAGATAGTAAATATAACCAATAGTAAATAGATAGTAAATATTTTATGTTATTATTAATATAGTAAATATTTTAGGTTTTGCAGAACCTACAATCTCTGTTGCAATGACTCAGCTTTGCCTTCGTGGAGCAGCCGCAGCCGATCCGTAAACAAATGGCACAGCTGTGTCCAATAAAACTCAATTTACAAAAACAGGAGGCTGGCAGGATTGGCCCCAGGGCTGCAGTTGGTAGACTCCTGATCTAGACCATTCCTCAGCCCTCCTCCAGTCCGTCGTATGCAGATGTGAGTGGGTCATAGTAGCCACTATCTATTAAACATGTACTGTGTGGCCTGCAGCCTACTAGGTACTTCTGGAGACTACCACATTTTAAGACTTACGGTAACGTTGTAGGGTAAGGAGGATCGACCGATTTGTACAAGTGAGAAAAATGAGACTGGGACATGCTGCCCTGTGTGAAGACTGACCTTGGTGGGGGACAGGGGGAGCAAATTATTTCAATGTTCCCGGGTACCAGTATCCTCACCGGCAGTGAGAGCCCACTGCATCAGGCTGTCATGGGAATTAAATAGAGCATTTGCCAGTGCCCCTGGATCTCATAGCTCTTCCAAGGACTGTGACTTGAAGGCAAGTAAAATTCCACTTTGAGTCAAGGGTTTAATGAGCCCTACCATTTCCCTCAAGGAGATGACTATGCCCACCTTCCCGCTGTTGCACTTACATCGTACTTGACCGTGAGTGTGATGGGCACAGCAGGCAGCTTCTGAGCCCAGTCCACGGCTGCCTGCGCCAGGAGAAAGGCCACATGGTCTGTGGCCACCGTCACAGCCGTGGACACCAGGAGCAGGGTGAGCAGACCCAGCCTTAGGAGACAACTCAGCAGCTCCCCCTGGGACAGCCTCGGCCGGGCCGCCCAGAGCAGCCAGGCTGGTGGGGAGGACACCAGGTGTGTGGCCCCGACCTCTGCCAGCTGCTGAGCCAGCTGCCGTGTGGCGTAGATGTTATCAAACCACAGGTCAGTCAGGTAGCGATGGAGGTACCAGGCCGAGTCCACCAGGAGGCCCAGCATAAGGAGCCCTGTGACCAGCCTCTGACTCCACAGGGATGCCCCCCGGGCCAAGGACTCCAGGCCGGAGAAGTCCTCCAGGACCTGCTGAGTGACCCTGAGCATGTGGAGCTGGAAGGCAGAGCCATTGTCCTGGGCCTGGAGCATCAGGCCCTGGCCGCCCGCTAGGCTGTCAGGGCCCAGAGCCCGGGATGCCATGTGCAGCTGGTGAGTGGTGTTGAGCAGACTCTCCAGGGAGCCCTCAGTGACACACCTCAGCACCTGCCCAGCTGCGTGCATGTTGGCCAAGACGTTAGGCACCACAGCGACGGCCAGGGTGGCGGTACTCCAGGACAGGAGCAGGCGGCGGCCCTGCTCCGTGCCCAGGGTGGGCACGCTGAGCGCAAACAGGCAGCGGGCTGGAGGCACCAGACCCAGGCCCAGGAACACCAGGAGGCCACAGATGGTGGCCACCAGAGCCGAGGGCTCCAGAGGATAGAGCAGCGAGGACACCAGCCAGTGGTAGGTCAGACCTGCAGCAGCAACAGCCAGGGAACCGCACAGGAGGAGCTGGGTCAGCAGCTGGCCACAGCTGGCTGGAACAGGCTGGGAGAAGGCGATCCAGGTGGCCTGCAGCAGGGCAAGGGCCTTGCAGAGCCCCAGGTAACAGACTCGCCACCTGCACACAAGGAAATTGGGAGAACTTCTAACAAGAGAGTTGGGGGGTTGTGTGTCTGCCCAATGCCCCTGCCCTACAAACTCTTCAACTGCTAATAGGCTCCACCCCTTTACCCACATGGGTGGGCACTCTTCCCAGGTGGGCCAATCAGAGTAAGCCATCCTAAACCCACATAACCCAAGCTGAGCCAATCAGAACCTTCCACACGATTATTCTCACTGCGTTGTCAGGAAGGAACCCAGTTTCCAAGCAGTTCTTGAGGATGTGAGGATAACATCTAGGCTGCTTGTCTTGTGAGGACAGCTGGCCCAAGGGAACGATGGAGTCGCAAAGAGAGGGATGAAAGAGAGGGAATAAAAGAGAGAAACAGGGAGAGACGCTATTTCATTTGCATTCTCAGCCCCATCAGGCCTGACCACTGACTGTTTTCTTGCCTATGGCCCCAGGGTCCAAGGTCCCCAGACCTACCCAGTCTGGATGAGATGCTCTGCTGCTCCCTGGAGTGCCCTCATGCTCCCTGAACAGCTGCGGATCCTGGCAGGCGGGCTCAGGCAGCGACCACGGCAGATGGAAAGGAAGGGAGGGAATTGTGTCCTCCAGGGCTTGGGAAACTGTCACTTCTGCTTTTCTGCCCTTAAGTGCTCCTGGTGGCCTTGTCCCGCCCTGCCTGGGCCCACCTCCCAGGGGGTTGGGCAAGCTGCCTCATCCTCTCCCAGGCAAGATCCAGTGGAAGGGGTGGGAGGAGAGAACACGCCTTTTCCAAGCAACCTCTCTAATCCTGATAGTCAGGAGGTACAATTAGTCCCATTTCACAGAAGAGGAAACTGAGGCACAGAGAAGACATACAGCTCATCAGTGGTAGTTCTGGGACTAGAACTCATCTGGTCTTCCCCTTTCCCTCCCCCTGCGCAGCTGCAGGCAGAGGCTGATCCGTAACTCTTAGAAGGTGGAAACCCACAGGAGACAACTGGACATCTGCTGAGACTCTTTCCAATCATCAGTGGCTCTGGTCTCCCTCTCAGCTCCCTTTCTGTCTCTAGCCCAATGCGGATCTAGCTCCAAATCACAGCTCTGTCCCTCTCTAGCTGGGTGATCTTGGGCGGGTGACCTCATCTCTCCGTCTTACTTTCCCCCTCTGAAGGAGGCATGATAATAACGGTTAACATTTACTGAGCACTTTTCAAGTATCAGGCACGCTTCTAAACAGTTTCTATCCGAGTTCACTCAATCCATTCCTCACACAGCCCCTCGTGGTAGGGACTGATATTTTCACTCTTCAGTTCAGAAAACTGAGATCCAGAGAGTTAAGTCCCTTAACCCAGCCACTCAGCTAGTAACAAGTAGAGCCATGATTTATATCCAGCAACCCTGCTCCAGAGTCTTCCAGTCGGCTACTGTGCCCTACTGGAGGGGAGGGAAGAATTCATAAGATTCATGGTGACCTTGGGATGCAGCTGGCTCTGCAGGCACTCAGTAAACGTGAAGCCCCTGTTTGTGGGCTCTGCCATCGGCACCGCCCTGCAGGTACACTTTTGAGCAGTTCTGAAAGCCAATCTCCACCTGGAAAGCAGATACTCCCCTCCGCCTCCACAGTGTTTCTGTGCCTCATCACTACCAGCAGGACCGCCTCCTCCAGGAGGCCTCTCCTGAGCCCCTGCCCCTCACCCTTCAGGATGGATCAGTGAGGGGGCACACTTACACAATATTCCAGAATCCTTGTCATTTTTCCCTTCTAAGGACATTGGGTCACTCGCTCAGGCCTAAAGGAGGCTGTCCCATGGCCCAGATAAGGGAAGTGGCATTCTCATAGTCACACAATTGGATGAGACACCTGTGGCCCTCAGAGGGCCTAAACTTCTTCCCAGGTCACAAGCCCCTCCAGGATGGCAGGCCAGCTGCCAAGTCTGCAAAGAGCTGAGCACACAGAGGAGACCAAGAGCAGGAAGCACACGTACCTGCAGGGGCAAAGCCGGCCGGGTGGAAACAGCGGGGAACTGCCGCGTGCAGACCCTTTGCAAAGGGCAGCTTCTATTCCACTCCAGCTGAGGGTTGAAGCTCCTTGAAAATGAGGCCCAACGTTACCAGGGTGTCCAGTTTTTCCAAAGATGTCAGTCATCTCCATTTTTTCCCAGTTATTTCCATTTTTATGTAAAAGTCTCCAAGTTTTAAAAGCTGGCATTTTTTAAAAAAAATGAGAGACCATGGTGCAGGCTAACCTTGGTAGGTCTGTGGGCCGGAGCCAGTGAGGCTGCCAGTTAGTAACCTCTGCAGGGGGCCTCAGTGGGACCCACGCAGGGAGCTGCTGGCCGCTCCTCTGACCTGCAGGGGCCCTGAGCTGCAGGCGGCAGACCTGCACTCAAATGCCAGCTCCGCCACTTACTGTACTGTGTGACCTTCGGAACAACACTGTCCCTCTCTGAAACTGTGTGTACTCTGCTTTAATGAGGAGACTACCATTTCCTACTTCTTAGGGTCCAGTAAACAATATACAAATGCTCCAGCCCTGCTCCCTCTGACCTGGGCTGACATCTTGGCCTGAGTGAGCCCCAGGCTTCTCAGACCTAATTGCACGGGCCTCTGTGATGCCCACTGGACCGTATCCCTGGCGTGGGTCCCATCACACAAGAAACTTCAGGGCGCTGTGCTGGTCAGAGGGGAGAGTCCTGGAAGACACCAGCATTTGCCTAGTTTCTGCACCGGCACCAGGGCACTGATGGGACCATGCTGATCATTTCTCGAAGGCCTCTAGTGGATGCGTAAGATTTGGGAGGATGGGAGCATAGGGAGGGAAGGGGCAGAAGATATTTTTGGCTTTTCTCAGCACATGTGGGTAGTCATTTCTGCTCATTTCTGCCTGAGTCTAAGGCCCACAACATCCGGAAGGGGTTTTGAATCATCAAAAATAGAATGAGCTTTGTTGACAGGAATTTCTGGGTGGAGGATTCAGAGCCATAAGACAGAACAGGAAGAGGAAGTGGTAAATTTTCAGATCTAGAATCATGATCAGAGGCCCGAAGAATATTAGAGTCACGGACACAGCTCACAAGTGTAGAATGTTGCCATCCTCCAGCTGGTTTGAGGATGTGCAGGAGAGTGGGGGCTAGAATCTTATCAAACAGGCAGTGCTCTCTAATATATAGAAACAGAATGGGGGCCACAAATATAATTAAAAATTTCTAGTAGCCACATGAAAAAGTGAAATTAATTTTAATAAAATATTTCAGTCAACCTAAGATATTCAAAATATTATCCTTTCAACATGTAATCAGTGTAAACAATGATTAAGAAGGACCTGGATGGGCTACATCAAAAGACTCCCTTGCATTCTGGCTTCTGTTGGTGTGATAGTTAATTTTATGTGTCAACTTGTTAGTACTATGGTGTCTGGCTATTTGGTCAAACATTATTCTGGATCTTTCTGTGAGGGTGTTTTCAAATGAGACATTTAAATGGATGGAGTTTGAATAAGGCAGATCGCCCTCCATAATGTGGTGGTGGGCCTCATTTAATCAGGTGAAGGTCTGACTAGAACAAAAGGCTGACTTCTCCTGAGCAAGAGTGAATTCTGCCAGCAGGCTGCCTTTGGACTTGAACTGCAACTCTTTCCATATATGCACATCCTGTTGGTTCTGTTTCTCTGGAGAACCTTGACCAATACAGTTGGGTTTGACCACTGGGGAGCCCTAGCAGGAGAGCTGAGGGAGGGAAGATCCAGGGCAGTTGCATCCTTATGGAGTCACTAAGGACTGGATGCATCCTTGGACTTAAGTTGCTAGCTCCAGGTCGGCAGCTGTCCTCTGACCCTGGGGTGGGAGGTGTTTCTGCATGACTAGCCCTCTCATCCGACCCATCACCAGGGTCTACCCTTCCCTTGTGCTTTCTGTACGTAACCATCTGCCCACTCCTTGTCGCTAGACCCTCTACTCAACTCACCTCACATGAGCTAGTGTATGTGCTTACTAACACCTTTTGAGATCCTGACTATGGCTCTCATCTCTCAGATGGGGAAACCAAAGTCCAAACTGTAAAGGAGCTGCTTAAGATCATACAGATGTTATGGGTGGAGCCAGGAGTCCAACAGGCTTACTGAACTCGCTCAGTGACTTTTGTTCACCTTTTTTCCCATTTACCGTCACCACTTCCACTCCTCTGCCCGTGTGACTCTATGCACTTCTATTTGACGTACATGCTGGAGTAGATACATATCCACCCTATCACTTAATGTTTCATCACTTCTACGTGCTGCTGTGTTGCCAAGTGTGCTTCCTCCATATTTTATTTAAATGCATCCCCTTCCCCAGTGATGGTCACCTAGGTGGCCTCCAGCTCCTTGGTATCTCAAACAACAGTAGCACAAATATCCTCCTCCACTGTATCCCCACGGACCCATGGGATAATTTTTCTTGGATTTCAGCCCAAGAATAAGATAACTGGACCACAGGGAATGCAGATAATGAATCCCCCCAGTTACCACCAAACTGCTTGCCAGGATGATGGTAATAGTTTGTTATCTCTTCAGCAGAAAACGAGGGTTCCTGTTTCCTCCCATTTCACCATCACTTGTTGTCCGCTTTTTTCTACTTTTTGGCCAGTCTGATTGGTGTATTGTTGAATCTTGTTTTCACCTGCATTTGTCTGATTACAACTGGTTTCAGCATCTCCTTGTAAACCTCCTGGCCACTTTACAGACCCCTTTTTAGAACAGCATATTCGTAAGTTTCACTCAATTTTCTCTTGAGTGTTATGGTGGAAGACTTCCAAAGCTGGTGGCCAGTTGTCTTCTCCCCTGTATGTGGATGCCAGTCCCCCCATCAAGGAGTAGAGTTATTTCCCTACCCTTGAACCAGGCTAACCCTGTGATCTGCTTTGACCAATCAAATGTGGCAGAATTGCTGTTCTTGGACTCCCAAGCTCAGGCCTTAAGGGCCATGGTAGCTTCTACTTTTGCCTTCTGAGAAGCCCACTGTCACATACAGAAGTCAAGGCTCGACTCCTGGACAAGCCACATGACCCTGGATGGTCCACAACCGTCACGGACATCCCAGTTTCAGCTAAACCCCCAGCTGGGTGGCCCCAGACACACCATGCAGAACAGAGACAAAACCATGCCTGCAGAACTCTGACCCAAGGCAGACATGGGAGCCAATAAATTATTGCGTGTTAAGGCCCTGAGTTTTGGGGCGATTTGTCATGCAGTCAAAGTAACTAAAACAGGTGTTTTGTTTTGTTTGTTTTTGTCTCTTTCGACTTCCAAGTGTGCTTGTATGTTCCAGATGAGTTCTTGGTAAATTTCCAATGACTGTGTACCACCCCTGTCATCCCCCTTCCTCCCACACCACCAAGAGCACATGGCTGACACCTTCTGGTCTCACTCCAGTGCCACCTCCTCAGAGAAGTCCGCCCTGACCACCCCGGCTAAAGTAGCCTTGTCACATTGACCAGTTTCATTTTATTCTTAGTCCACATTATGACCCAGAGTCATTTTATTTATTTGTTTACTGGCCTACTGCCTGTCTCCTTGGCTAAGTTTCAAGTGGGTGGGGACAGTGAACTAGCACATAACAGGTTCTGAATTGTTGAATGAATAAATGGACGAACGAGTGAATAAAGAAATGAGCCAAATAGGCCCCAGATGGAAGAGTGAGACTGCTTCCTCAGAAATTCTGATGTAGATTCATTTATCAAATGTTTACTGAGCACCTGCTGTGTGTCAGAAACTGTTCTAGGTACTGAAGTCACAGCACTGAACAAAATAAAGTTTGTATTCTCATAAGTTCATATTCTAGAGAAAGAGAAAGTTAAGAAACAAGAAAACAATACAGTGTCCTGACTAAATACTAAGAAGAAAAATATAACAAGAAAAGGGGATAAAGAGTAATGAGGGTGACATTTTAGACTCGATGGTCTGGGAAGCTTCTCAGGGGAGGTGACATCTGAGCAGATACCTGGATCAAATGAGGAAACAAGCATATATTTGGCAGCAAAGTGTTTTAGGCCAAGGGAACAGGCATGTGCAAAGGCCCTGAGGCAGATGAGTTTGAGTATGTTGCAGGAGTGGAGTAGAGAGGGGAGAGCAGTCAGGAAGTGAGGTCAGGGAAGTAAATTCTGTGAAACCCCTGGTTCCAGAATTTGAGGCTTTGAAGCTCTTCTGTGTCCACAAAGGCAAATAATCTCCAGGCCCAGTGTTCGATTAACATCATTTTATAGCATTTTCAATCAAAAGTATTTGAAATCATGATTCACCTGGTTACAAGCCCTTTGGGTTTCTCTGTGAATGAACTTCTCCCCTCTCCTGTCCTACAGGAGTGCACCCCTAACCCCAGCAGGCTGTAACTGTGACTAAATCTTGTAGTGCCCCTACAGGAAGGATGGGGAGCTCATTCTCCAACCGCAGGGCCCCCTCCTCCCTCTCCCTGCCCCAAGGGAAACATCCACGACTCACTGTGCCATTCTAAAAACACGTCCAGCCCCTGGGTGCTTCCTCTCCAGCCCCAGCTGCTCGGGGAATCTCATCCCTCAGAGGCGTAGGAAGCAGACGATGTGAGTTTTCTGGGCCCCTCAGCCAGCGCCTTTTCTGATGCTGGGCTAATGCCTGGCCACTGATTCCAGACACTTCCCAAGCACCTGTTGGGTCCAAGCTGTGCTATTCACTGGGGGTGCCAAGTGAATTCCTGCCTGAAACAAGGAGGGATCAAATCCTCTAGGACAGGCCCCGCCAGCCACCGGCTCAGGGGCAGTCTGAAGCTGTCCTTGTCTGTAGAAGAGAATTGTATCTCCCTGCCTGAGGCATTTGACCCTGGCCTTTTACAAGGCCCTGATTTACCTTGGCTTTTCTCTCACCCCTGAAAAACGTGGCCTTGACTAATCAAACACGCTTACTGCTCGGGGTAGGGGTGGGCAGGCAAAGCCCGGCTCCTAGAACAAGACGCCGGCAGCCACAAAGCCCCTGCGGGACCCACGCAGGAGGGGCCTGGCTGGGTGGGGCTGTGGGCCGGCCACCCACGAGAGGGCAGGGCCCAGGCTTGGCCTGACTCCAGAACTGTGGCCACACTGAATCAGATTAAACAGGAAAATCCTAAAAAGCTTGGGTAGAAAGGTCTAGAACGTTCCTTGTGTGCTCGGGAGCCCAGAGAAGCAGCAAAGAGGCTCTGCACGGTCTTCGTGTCCTCGGAAAGTCATCCGTCCCTCCCCTTATCTCCAGAAATTGAAAGCAACCCTGGCTGCTGGGTACCGGTAGGGGTGATACTCAAACAACCGGCACAGAATGGGCCTCCACCCAGCAGCACACACACCGGCTCCGAACAGCTGGGACAACTGGGCGGGAACATGGCAGCCCCCAAAGCCTCTTGAATCAAGGTGGCCCCTCCAGGCAAGATGGTCTCTCCAGAGTGTAACCTAGTCAGCGAGGGATAGTAGCCGTGCCCCTCATCCCAGCTGCTGAAGACAAGCGCCAGTCTAGATTCACTTATTGTCACTGCGGCTGGGCTTTCTGGCTTCCTAACCACAGAACGGCTCAGAGTTAAAGGGGTTTGTTTTTCAAGTGGCAGATCTAGGAGGTATCTGGGCCCTGAACTGCATGATAGAGAAGGAAAAGATATCCTAGATAATGAACCTGAAGACCCAAGTGGACCGCTGGAGGTCACCCCTCCTTGCTGCATACTGGATCTCAGAGAAGAATTGCTTGATCATCCTGTAGGGTCCTAGCAGCAGGTGATGGCGAAAACTGGGAGGGCCCAGCCCAAAGAGAGTCCCCAAGGGGGAGGGCCCAGCCCAAAGAGAGTCCCCAAGGGGGACTCAGAGGGTCCGAAATGTGTCATTGGCCAAGGTGGATGGCAGGGCGGTGACATTGGCTAAGTGGATGTTGGCCCACTCGGGGAAGGTGTCCAGCTGGAAGATGGTCTGTGCCCAGGTGTTCATGGCCAGGCTGAGCAGCAGGACACCCATCAGGTTCATCAGGAATCCTGTCCGCACCTGCAGTGAGGGAGGGCCCAGGGTGAGGGAGAGAGATGGGGAAACCCAGGCTCAGAGTCAGAAAGTCATTTGCCCAAGATCGCACAGCTGGCAAGTGAGGGAGCCAGGACAGGTGCCCAGGTTGGTCGGTGCCCAACACCCTTCCATCTTCACACACCACTAGGCTGGGCCTCAAAGAGCTGAGTGGTTTCTAGGCACCAGGTACCGTGCCAGGCAGATGTCACAGAGCTGTCCTTCACCCTGAAAGCAGCCCTCTGAGGGCTGCTGCTGTTGTTAGTACTGTTGTTCCCATTTTACAGAAGAGGAACATGAGGCTCAGAGAAGTTGGCTTACTCAAGCTCACACAACTTGAAAATAATCTGGTTCCATAGTTAAACACCCTCCCCCGCTTTTTGTTTACGGTCCGTCTCCCTCGTAGAAGGTAACCTCCTTGGAGGCAGCCCTGTGTCTCCCCTACACTGCACAACCCCCTTTCCTAGAACATGGGATGCGCTCGGCAAATACCTGTGCAGCGAATGAGCAAACAAGGAACATCTGTCTCCCCAGGCCCCTGCTCTCTCTCTGCTCTGTGATCTGTCTCTCTTGTTCTCTCTCTCCATCCATCCCGCTGAGGTCTCTGTGCCCGGAGGGCCTGTGTTGGTCCACAGCTAGTTACGCAGATCTCCCTTCTCTTGGGATTTGAGTCCCCGAGCCCCAACGTGTGAACACCCCGGGCCACCCGCAGAGGGGAACTGGCAGCTGGAGGCCAGCAGAGGGGGAGGCAGGTGCCGGTTCAGCGGGGGAACTTGGGGGAGAGCCCTGCTGAAAGCTGGGGGCTCCCTGGCCCCACTGCCACAACCCTTGGCTTCTGTCTCCCTCTCCAGCCTGCTGGGCACCGAGGTCCACCCCTGTGGCTCCTCTCCTGAAGATGCCAGGCTGGGCAGGGAGCCACTGGTCAAACAAGTCAGAAGAAAGGGCGGTGCCCAGAGCAAGGGAAGTCCCTCTTCTCTGAAGCAAACTCTGGGACATAACTGCTAAGGCACCGTTTCCTGAAATTGCCTAAGTGGAAGAATCACTGCAGAGTGTTTGCTAAAACGCGTATTTCTGGCCCCACTCAGGACTGATTCAGAAATTGGAGAAGTGGGGGCGGTGGGGAGCAGGAGTCCCGCCTAGATGCCTCGCCTACTCCTGGTGCCCACCCACCTCTCCGGGCCTCCGCTGGAAAATGCCCAGACTCACCATGTCTTTGACCAGCAAGTGCCCAGAGGCGAAGGCGATTGAGTTGGGGGGCGTCGAGACGGGGAGCATGAAGGCGTAGGAGCAGCCGACTGTGCCGGGGATCATCAAGTACAGGGGGTGCACCCTCAGGCGGATGGCCTGGGCCCGAGACAGAGAAACACAGAGAAACCACTCAGGAGACGGAGACAGATGGAGAGAGATTGGCAGTGAGAGGGAGAAACAAAGGGAAGAGGGATTTGGAGACACACAGAGAGAAATGCATCCAGAAATACAGACACAGGCAGAAGTAGAGACAGGGGGACAAGAAGAGAACCGGACCAAGGGAGACACGGAGAGAACGTTCGTAGGTTAGTGACGTTCCGAGGCCACGTGCAGGTTCATCAGGGAGGACGGGCTGGGGAGATGATTCTAGAACACGCCTCCAACTGGAGAGTGCATCAGAATCACCTGCAGGGCTTGTTAAAACAGATCGTGGGCCCCGCCTCTCCCCACGTTGCTGATTCAGCAGGTCTGGGGCAGCCCCAAGAATCTGCATTTGTAACAACTCCCCAGGTGGTGCTCATGCTGCTGGTCCAGGGACCCCATCTTGAGAACCAGGCTGTAAAACATTAACTCTCCCGCCTGGTCCTCTCAGTCAAACAGTCCAAACAGCTGGCCTCTGGGGACCTTTTGTCGGCGCCTCACTGGGTTTCAGAGACAAAGAGAACTCGAGATAGCACCTATAAGCTTTTCCAAATTCCTAAGATTGTGTGGGTCAGAGGTGTCTGTGGGTTGGCCTCAGGCAGCAGGCCACTGGTTCGTCACCTCTCCCAAATGACACTTATTCCCCTTACAATTCATGTTGATCACTTCGCCAGTATTTTATGTAAGATAACCCTTTTTCGGCCCCTCTAGGGAATTTTTGTAACCCAAAGCATATACATCTTCTCAAAAAGCACTGAGATCACCTCCTGGCTTGTAAAATGTTTTGATTTTGATGATAAGCACCGTTAAAGAGAATGCATCGTTTGCTAGTATCTTCTCCAGCAAAAGCTGCCCCTGCAGACCTGGTTGGCTCTGCTCTCCCCCCGCCCCCAGACAACCCCATAGACCCCCGATCTCTCTCAATTGCCAGGTCCATCAGATCCTGGGGAAGGGTGTGATTAAATCCAGTCACACTTAGCAAGGCTATGGGGACCCCACCCCACACTGTTGGTGGGCGTGTAAATGGAGCGCCCATACCTGGTATGGCCATTTGCTCATATCTAACAAAACTGTAAATGTACATGCTCTTTCATCCAGGGATCTCAGTTCTAGAAGTGAATCTAGGTACAACAAAGGTGCACAGACAAAAAGGGGCAAGGTAGCATCGTTGGGAGAACAGAGGCTGGAAACAACCCCTGTGTCCAGCAGTAAAAGATTGTGACAACCACTGAATCATAATGGAATATTCTCCAGTCATGGAGAAAGAATAAAGTGTATCTGTGTGTGCTAACACACTGTGATCTCCATTATAAGCTGCTGCATAAATAAACAAGCAAGAAACAAAAACAGAGTGGCTCCAGTAAGTGTGCCTGGTACCTCATTGTTTGCACAGAAAGCATGTATTTGCAACACTGATCTAATTCTTATCGATTTTGGATTATAATGAAACAATCACAGGGTATGGTCTTCTTTAGTCTATTTAAATATAAAACTACATTGATAGTTTCTGTTGATCAGTTTTGGAATTTCTAGCAGAAATTCTCATGGATCTTGACATCCTGTTCCTTTTGCATGATCCTGGATCTGTTTTCTGTTATTTGCATCTTTGGTTCTACACGAGTTTGAGTTATGACCTTCCTTTCCTTTTCTCTCCTTCTTTGGTGTTGGGGTCAGGGTTTTGTTAACCTTACACCTGGATTGAATGGCTTTCTCTATCTCTCTGTGTTCAGGAACATTCTGGGTAAGTGGGGACTATCTGTCCCTTGAAGGTTTGCCAGCTCTCACCTTAGCCAACGCTCTGGGGCTGGTGAATTTTACAGCAGTGATTCTTAACTGGGGATCTGTTTGTCTTCCCAGAGGACATATGGCAATGTCTGCAGACATTCTGAATTGTCACAATTTAGGGGGTGCTTTTGGCATCTAGGAGGTAGGGACCAGGGATGCTGCTAAACATCCTACAATGCACAGGACAGCCCCACATGGCAGAATTCTCTGGCCCAAAATGTCGACAGTGCTGAGAAATCTGCTTTAGAGTGAGGCTAGAGCTTTGCCAGCCACTGGAACTTCTCCTATGGTTATTTGTCTACTCGGATTTTTTGCTTCTTCTTAATCCAAATTTGGCAATTTATATTTTCCTAGAAGACTCTCCATGTCACCATTACTATTCCCAAAGGAAGGAATTTGGTGCACTTTGAAAATATTTACTCTGTTTAAACATTTCTTAAAGAAAAAAACATTTTTTAAAAATCATGGTTCTGACACTTCCATGCATTTTGGAATGAGAGCGATGACAACTGTGGCCCCAACGGCGATCCCAGAGGCAGGGAAGAGAGTTCTGAAACCATGTGTGGGAGGGGTGTTTCCCTCCTGCCCCAAGACCCTCTGAGGACCCTCACCAGCTCCGCCAGGACGGGCAGAAAGATGATGATAGTGGCCGTGTTGCTGGCAAACTCGGTGAAGAAGGCGATGACCACGGTGATGAGCATCACGGCCAGCACCGGCGGCACCTTCTCCAGGGGGTGCAGCTGCCCGCCGATCCACGCAGACAGCCCCGACTCCTGCGGAAGGCGGAAGCAAGGAGCATCTCTTCATAGCTGCCACCCCCGAGGGCTGGAGGGTTAGGGTTGGTCACGATGACAACTACGCCCTTTCACATACAAGTTGACTGAGGTTCAGAGAGGGGAAGTGACCTGCCCATGGTCAGGTATTCGAGCTTCGACTTCAGTCCTGAGCTGCTCTCTACTCCATACTCTACAGGCCCAGGGTCCAAACCCCTGGATCCTCCATTTGGTTCTGGTGCCCCTAACCTGAGTGGGAGAGGGGAATTGGACCCTCCATGCTAAATCTTCTCACTCTGCCAATGATGGTTATCACTTATAAAAATATTAACATATTCATACAAAATATCCATTATTGATTTTGTAATTATTGTATATAAATATCAAATATATAATATATATAAGATATTATATGTCATGTATAACATAAAACATGTATCAGATATATATAAAATATAACACAATGAATAGTATTATCAATAACAAAGATATTTATGATGAGTATTACCATGATGATAACATAAATACTAACATTATTAACACTGAATTATTATTCATGATCATAAGAATCACCATTACTGAGGCTTTACAGAGTGTCAGGCACCTGCCTGCATTACCTCCCTGACTCTTCCCAACCATCCAGTAAGGTAAACATTTCTCCCTGTGTTACAGAGAAGGAACCCAACTTGGCAAAGTTTTGTGACTTGCCCAAGGTCCCCCAAAAGTAGTGACTAAGATGTAGTATGCATTAAGGGCCAAGTACGTCAGCAAACTAACATTCTCCTGCAAAGTGCCCTGTCACTGGGCACCCTCCACTGGATACACCAGCCTGTCACTGTACCTTTTCATGAGAAGCAGTGCCCAGAGCTAACCACAGCCCCCCAGGACAGAGAAAAGACAAGGCAGATTGTCCCCTCCTTGGCTCCAGGCTCCCCTTGCCATCAATACTGGAAAATTGTTTCTGAGCCTCTCTTTGCTGACTTTTCCAGGAATTACCTCTGCCCTCCTGCCCTCCTGACCCGGAGTCCAACACACCTTCATGATGACCCCAAAGCGGAAAAGCTAATATAAAATTGTGCTCGATGCTACCCCCTGGTGGTGCCATGCAGCAACAGCGCAATAAAGCAACAAGGGCTCCTCCTTAAGTCATTTTCTTTTTTCTTTTCTTCTCTTTCTTTCTTTCTTTTTTTAAATTGAAGTATAGTCAGTTTACAATGTTGTGCCAATTTCTGGTGTGCAGTGTAATTTTCAGTCGTACATATACATACATATACTCCTTTTCATATTCTTTTTCATTATAAGTTACTACAAGATATTGAATAAAGTTCCCTGTGCTAGACAATAGAAAATTGTTGTTTTCTTAGCCAAGATAACAGAGCCCTAAGCTTACGAGTCGATCAAGGGCAGAGCTGGGTTAGACCCATAACGTTTAGAATCAAGTGTATGTCTACCACAGTCCTTTTATTAATCCAGTATCCTTTGGTACCAATATACTTTGGTTTGTCAAAGAAAATGTATGTGTTTCTTTTATGTTTAATAGAAAATGTACTGCTTATCTAGAACTTAAAAGTTCCATAGTGGATTCTAGAACACAGAATTCTGTTATTACATAAATAAAATAATACACTTGTCCCTACAGTTTGACTTAAAAGTTACCTCTGAGCAATAATAAATGCTAACAGTTTTCCCTAGGAGAGAGCTTGTAAAATTTAGGTGCCTCTTTCACATCTGCACTGTGTGTCTGACAGCCTAGAAGTTGTGGCACATGGCAGAGTCGAGGCCCCAGCCCCTCCTCTGGCCCAGGGAACCCCACAGGGAAAAATGGGGCCATTAGTTTTTTCCAGAGGCCACAGCTCTGGCAAAGAGACCGCTGGCAGTGTGTGCAATTAAATGGAGAGGGGCTGGAGAGGAGGAATATTAATGACTTGCATGAATGAGGACCAAGAGCTTCCAGTGGCCTGGCCTCTGGATGCCAGGCTTCCAGCCACCGTCCCAGCGGCTGCTCAGGGTCTTGGCAGGAGGCAGGTGGAAGGGAGGTCCTGCTGCTTCATGAAAGAGGAGACCCCCCCCGCCCCCAGCTGCCTGGGGCGCTCAAGTGGACTCTAATGGGTGTCACCTGCCCTTTCCCATTCTCCTAGGAATCAGAAGCTCTGTTTCCTTGGAAACACACAGCCACATGGTGTTCGCAGGGACTTCAGGACCACTAATAGGCAAAGTCAGCGGCTGCGCGCCCAGAGGGTGAGGAGAAAGGGCTCTGCAGTCAGACTAAGTTTGTCCCTCACTTAACCCGGTCTAGCTGTGTCATCCTGGGCGAGTAACTTAACCTCTCTGCGCCTCATTTCCTGATCTGTAAACTGGGGTGTAATAGTGCCTGTCCCAGAGGGTTACTGTGGGGAGGAAAGGAGCTAATCTGTGAAGCACTCAGAAAAGTGCTTGGGCATCAGGCAAGTGCCCAGCACATGCCACCTGCCATTAGTAGCATCAAGTCACGAGACGCCAGGGGTGGCGGAACACTCAGAAATCGCCCAGTGCTGTGGTTGTCAAACTGTGTTCCTTACAGCCCGCAAAGATGCCAAGAGGTACCTGAGGCCACAGTGCAGGTTGGGAGAGGGAGGCGGAGCTGGCAGGACGATGTCCCCTCTTGCTCCTCCTTTCCCACTTCAACCAGGTCCTCCCTTCTTGATCTCTTTGATATATAGTTGGGTCACATCTTAAAGGAGGGTGTTACGGTTTTAAGTGAGATGTTTAAAGTTGGAATCTCAGTAAAAACTCTTGAAAATCTCTTAAAAAGCCTCATGAAACACAACAAGCTCAGCTGCGAGTATACAACTCTGCATAAGAATTCTTAGGTAGCGAGAGCCAGTGAACTTGATTAAAGGAAGGAAGAGAAGACTTTACGCACACATGTGAACATTCAAACTACTGTACTGCTTACAAGCTGTGTGGCACTGGGCAAATGAATGAACATCTCTGTTCCCTGATTTCTTCAAGGGGCTGTGGTGAGGCTTAAATGAGTACAGGTAAAAGCAGTTCCTACATGGCTTATTACTACTTATTTAATTTAACCAATGCTTAATATTGCCCTTACTCTGTGCAGGGCACTCTTCTAAGTACTTTGCTCATGTTAAGTTATTTAATCTTCAAAACAACTCTATGAGGTAAGCAGCATAATTATTTACATTTTATGGCTGAAGAAACAGGCACACAGGTTGTGATTTGCCCAATTAAGTGAAATGAGTTTGGAATTTTGAGCTCAGAATCTGGCTCTTACTTCATTAGGCTACCTCTCCAATAAAATAAAATAAAATAAAATAATAATAAAAACTCTTCAGAAGGAAAGAAAATGAAGGATTCAGGAGAACACACACACGCTTCCACTTGCCTATAAGGTCTGCTCCACTCTGATTTAATATCAAGCTTGTATCACCTAAATACATTTGCAGATAAGTTTATTGTGGTGAAGATTAAATGAGAGATACAGGAAGGTGCCAAATAAGACCAGTAAGACCAATGATTAAAAATCCATGAGACAGTAAAATTATAATACCAGCAGAAGCAGTGAGGCTGAGAGTGGCGGCCGGTTTTAGCCCCGGGTACGCAGCAGCCCTCTGTTGGGTGCTTTCCTTACACCATGTCATCCGTCCTCAAAACAGCCCGTTTTGTAGGTCTTGTCCAACAAATATTTAGTGAGGGAGCATTTAGGTACCAGGACTTTTCTAGATGCTTAGAACAGTGATGAATAAGACAGATATGGTCCCTGACATCATGGAGCCTACATCCTAGTAAGAGCGACAGCAGTAAACAAACATATGACCAGGACAGCCTGGGGGTAGACATGGCATGAAGGAAATGAGCAGGGTGATAAGAGCGAGAGTGACTGTGTAGGGGGTACTCTTTAGATATGGTGGCCAGGGAGGGCCTCTCTGAGGATATGACCTTGGAGCTGAGACCTGAGGGTGAAGAGTCAGAGATCTCAGGAAAGAGCATTCCACAGAGAGAAAGCAGATGCAAAGGTCCTGGGGTGCAAATGGATCTAGTGTAGTTGAGGAACATTAAGGGGTAGTGGGACTGAAGAGGAGCCCATGAGAGGCCAGAGGTAGGAGCCAGCATCAGGGAGGTAGGTAGGGGCTATTTTGGGCCTTGCATGTAGGCCAAGACAAGCCTTCAGACTAGTGTCCAAAAATATGGGGAATCATGGGCAGCAGCAGTGGGAGAAAACTTTAGTGTGGACATCAAGCGGGTTTAAGCAAGTTACTCGAGCTCAGAGCAAGCACTGGGATCTCCTTCCAGCCCTTCAGAACCATCAGGTGGGAGTCCACACATCCAGGCTTACCCTGGGCCCAGTCCAAGGACCTCTAAGCCCCAGCAGGCCTGGCTGTGGCCTGGTGAGGGCACTGGGCAGGGGCTATGAGGCCGGACGTGCCATTAGCACTCTGGTCCCTCCTGGGGCAGGCTGCCTGGGGAGAAGATGGTACGAGCGGGGGTGGGGAGGGGCAGCTATCATACAAAGTCCTTGCTGAACAGAAAGCCAGGCCAGCTGCCCAAGGCTGGGCCAGGAGCCAGACTGGCCTCCGGCATGCTCAGCAGTCCTGCAGCCCAGCCCCCACTGAGGGATGAGCTTTGCCCACCACTCTCTGAGCTCAGAGAAGCCTCCAGGGTACAGCTTAGGCTCAGGGTCAGGTGAGGTTCATAGCATCTTGATAAATGGCATTATTTTCACTGAGTTGCTCAGGGCCAGAACCTCTGTGTCATCCTTGATCCTAATCTCCCCTTTTCCCTGACATCTAATCATAATAACCAGCTGTGTCCAGTTATGTTCTAAGTTCTCCATGTGTATCAACTCACTTAACAATTGTAACAACTCTGTGAGATGGGCGCCATTATTATTCCCATTTTACAGATTAGGAAACAGAGGCACACAGCTCAGAGGTGAAAGATCGACTCCAACCCAGATGGTCTGCTTCCACTGGTTCTACCACCCATGCCATTTCTACATTGCATTGCATGGCCTCCTCAAGACCTGGATAACATGTCACTTCCTCCAGGAAGCCTACCCTGATACATCCCCAGTAGGAGGCAGTAGTGAGAAAAGCCAGACAGACACGAGTTCAATCCCAGCTCTGCTACCTGTGAGCTGTGTTCCCTAGCATCAGTCACTTAACCTCGCTGGTCCTCGGGGTTCCTAAAATGGAGACAAAAACAGTATTTTTGCTCATCCATCCTTTTGTTCCTTTTACCTTTGTACATGTTATTTATTGGGAAAAAATGAATAAACTAAAAACACATTTCACAAAAAAAGAGTAGCTGTGTAGAGAAGCTGAAGTCCCCGTTCCGTGCGGCCTTGGTGTGGAGTCCATAGTGTGATGGTTCAGCCCTCTGGACTCTGAAGGCCTTTTGCCCTAGCAAAAATACAAGTATTACCTAGCCCCGAGGGTCAGTGTGAAGAGTCAGTGAGATAAACCGTTCTGATGTATGTTGGACCTGAGGCTGCACTTCCTCAGGGCAGGGCAGGCTGACTGCCCACGTTCACAACCCTGAGAGCGAGGGTCTCCCGAAATTCTGCTTTCTCGGTGCCTCACTTGCCTGACTCTAGTCCCGCCTCTGCCTCTGAGTTCACAGAGCCTTCAATTAATAGTAACATCACATAATTAATGTTAATAATATCTAACACTTACAGCGGTCAAGAGCATAGACTCTAGAGCCAAACCACCTGGATTTGAATCCTGAGTACATAGCTGTGTGACCTTAGGCAAGTTACTTTACCTCTCTGAGCCTCAGTTTCCTAATCTATAGAATGGGGATAACAGTGGCATCTACCTCAGAGGCTTGCTGGGAAGTTTAAATGAGTTAATCCGTGTAAAGCACCTTGAACACTGCCTGGCACAGGGCGAGCCCAGCGTGGTGTTACTCCTCTGTGCTCACGGAGCCCTCTAGTCACGACTGTAGCGGTAGTGGTGTGCTTGCTGCTAGCAACTCCAGGGTCCACCTCAGACCTTATTCCTCTCTTTCTCGGTGGCATCAGGAACTGTACGGAGCTGTGAGGGAGGAACTCTCATTCTCCCAGTCTGGCCGATGGGGAATCTGGTGGCGCCTGCGGGGCCCGGGTAATCCGCTCGCTCTGACCCTGAGCCTGTGACCAGGCCTGGACTTGCACATGGCTCCCGGGGCCGCAGCCCACCCGCCGCTCTTACCTCACAGCCTTTGGCCATGGCAAAGCCTCCTCCCAGGAGAAGGATAATGTTCCAGGGCACCGTGTCCTGAGCCTTCTTCCACGTCAGCAAGGGCGCTGTCTCTGTGTTGGGAGCTGGGCAGAGAGAAGACACTTAGCCTGGGAGGGGACACCCATCCCCGCCGGGCAGGGAGGGGGCCTGACATACACTCAGGACACCCAGCCAGACAAGGGGACACCGGCCCCTGCAGCCCCACATTGGTGGGGACACTCAGGGGCTCTGAAAAGCCACAGCTGGGCTCCAGCATCAGTTTTGGAGATTGAGGGGAAAAGCCCACACGCATCATGATGGTGCATCTGCTCTATTCAGAATGAAAGCAGTTTTCATGGCTCCTGAGGCTTGAGAAGCTTCTGGAGCTGGTTACTCCATACGCGTAATAGCCTTTAAATCTCATAACAGCCCTTCTGGGTAAGTGCTACTTTCACCCTCACTTACCAGAGAAAAGGCCTTCTTTGTAACTGAACGTGTACAGAGAGGAAAAAGAGAAGAAGGAAATTCAGCAGAATGGAAACCAAGGGAGTGTTTGGTTCACGGAATTATGGGATGATATGTATTTCCTCAAAAGCAGTGGTGTCTGCAGCGGTCAGAATGGGGGTCAGCGAACGTTTTCTGTAGGGGGTTGGAGAGTGAACAGTTTAGGCTTTGCGGCCCTCTTTCGCAGTGAGGTTGCCATGGTAGCGTGAAAGCGACCACAGAGAAAATAGACACACGTGGGTGTGGCAGTGTTTCCAAGAAATTCTATTTACAAACCGGGTGGCAGCCTGATTTAGCCCACGGGCTGCAGTGTGTCATCCCTACCGTGGAGAGCATGGTCCTAGTGACGGACCCTCCTGGACCTTGGCTCCACGTTCCCTTGCAATGTGACCTTGCCTCTCTGACCCCCATCTCCTCCACTGACACATGACACAATAATAGTACCATGGGTGCTTGGTGAGGCTGTAGGTGAAGAGCAGCATTTTTGTTTAGTGGCCATACTCCAGTGTCCCTGCCTGGCACCTTGCAGTCACTCTATAAATACTTGTCAAATAATCTATACAACACACATAGAGCAAAGCCTGGTGCAGGGTAAGCAGTCCTGAACTGGAAATTTTCACTGTGTGCTGCCAGCAGCCTCCCTGCAGGAGGATGGGTCTGGCCCGATCACAGAGGCTCCCCTGCTGCCAGGACAGTTCCTACGTAGGCACCCATTGATGTTTTGTTTCCCCTTTTCAGGTTTTTTTTTCAAACTTTACATCATAGTTACATAAAACAAAAGTTTATAACTGGGAAATAAAGACAAAGAGACTTAATAAAGTCCCTCCACTGGACACTTGCAGCCCGTGGGGTGTGCCCACACCATTCTGACATCACACACCATCAGAGGACGCTTGGGCCAAACACAATGTAGGATTAAGCCCAGAACTGGAAGAGGCAGCTGGAGATGTCGGGTGGTCCAGCACTCTGCCTTCAGGTGATAAAATGGTACTTCATTAAAGAGGCAGCGAAGGTCTGAAAAAGTAAAGTGACTTGCCCCACAAGAAGGTAAGGGTTGGACAGGGAGAGGGAGAAGGCCCTGAAGATGAGTTTAATGTAATGCAGGTTAAGTGGGTCAAATGGCGAGACTGCTTACCATATAGTAATGTCAATTAACATTAGCTGTTACTGTCTTTACTATTTTCCCATCCAACCATGCCCTTGCCACTATTTCTTATAAGTGTAGCCTCTAACTGTCTGAATTTCTCACCTCCAGCTCCGTTTTAAACCAGCTGCTGTCAAGAGCACTGGCTGAAAGCACATGCTTTGATGTTGAACTAGAATCCCATCCTGGCTCTGCTATTGAGCTGTGTGACTTGGGCTAAGTGACTCTACCTCTCTGAGCCTCAATGCCAAAAGAAGCAACAGTACCTCCTCAGAGACCAGCTGGGAAGATGACATGGGCTCATGTCAAAGGGTTCAGCACAGGGCATGGCCCAGAGCAAGTCCTCGGTTATTTATTTAACAAGTATATTTTGGGGACCTACCATGTGTCAAGTACTTTTCTAGACACTGGGGCCATGGAAGTGGCCAAAACAGAGAAAATCTCCCCCATTGGAAGACTTAAATCCCAATGAGTGAGGCAGGTGATAAATCAATAAATGTATAATGTATGGGAAATTTATTTTTAAGAAAAAAATACAGTCAAGGGACAGAGAGTGAGAAAGGAAGGGTGCTTTTCTAGACGGTGTAGTCAGGGAAGACTTCTTTGGGGAGGTGACATTCGGACAGAGTCTGAATATAGTGATGGAGTGAGCCATGCAAATATCTGGAGGAAGAGCTTGTTGGGCAGAGAGAAAATGGAGGCTTTCATCACCCACATCATCAGCATCCTCATCCACATCGTTGTCATCATCAGCCACAAGCACAGTGCCCAGTACAGCATCGACACTTACTGAGCGACCAGAGAGGGAGTTGCAAGTGTAACTCAGATCCACAGAAGAATGGAAGACAATGGGTATAATAAGAAAATCAAGGTTGGCTTGGATGCCTGGGTTCCTCATCCTGTCTCCTTTTAACTAGCTGTGTGACCTTGAGCAAGTCACTGTCTCTCCATGAAAACTGACTGACCACTCTCGAAGGCTGCCTGGAAGACGTGAGTGTTGAGTACTAACCAGAAAGTATCATTTCAGCCAAGTCTGCGTGGGTCCACTGGTGGCCAAAGGACAGGCAGTGCTCATGGAATCCCCTCTCCCCATCCACTGGGCAACACTGAAAATTCCAATTCACAGAACCCCCAGCTGAGGCAGGATGCTACACTCCGTGAGCCAGGTCCAGCACAGAGATGTATTTTAACACTACTGTGTGGGTCCACACAGTATTTGTTTTCCAATGTGAATTAGCTGCCAATGTTTAAAATCAGAGAGATTTCATAAAATTCCATATTCTTTGCTTCTCTTAAAAAAATCAGTAAATCTGGCAAAACTAGTCCTGTATGGTGACAGTTGGGGGAAACTGAGTAACAGTTATCAGGGCATCAGCTTGGCTGTTTTCTACAGATCCCACCAGGCCCTGACACTGAAGGTCTTGCCAATTACAATCACCCTCTGCTGCTGTTTTCCTGGTAACATAGAAATTGTTCTCTGCTTCAGAAATGTGAAAGGAGAGATGGCCAGAACAGCCATGTTTCACCACACACATTCTCCTGCATCCAACCCACTGCACACATAAATGTTACCTATAAGGATCTGAGTTTGCAACCCCTATGTGTCCTATAGAACTACTAAAGCCAGGGGTGAAAAGTGACTAAGGGCCCTGCTCATTTCCAAATGGGAAAGCCAGGCCCAGAGAGTATAGGAACTTACTCAAGGTCACCCAGCGAATGAGTAGCAGAGTTGGGATTCCAGACATCTGTGTCCTGAAGTCCTCCCCACAGTCCCAGACAAGAGGAAGCTCTGGGCCTTACGAGACTGCCCACAGGTGACAGAACCATGGGTGGACACCTGGACAAGAGCAGCCAGTCCGCAGGCTGGCCAGGAATCTACAAGGCTACAAGGTGACAGCTCGTGTAAGAATTACGAGTCTCAGAAGTATCAGCAGGAATCCGAGAGACAACTGGGCAAAGAGAAGTGACAACCGAAAGTGGAAGGGTGGACAGAGAGACAGGGGAGGGGCGTGGGTGGGCCAGCGTTCTGTGAGGAAGTAGGGAGCATGAGCAAACAGACCCTGCTCATGAGGAGACGGAGGCTCTGAGGGAGAGATGGAGGAACAAACTCTGTAAGAGAGTAGCGGCTGTGAGGAAGCGATGAGGGACTCGATGCTCGAGGGACAGAAACAGGAGGCAGAAGTAGCAGGGGCGGCAGGGGTAGATTCGGGGAGGGAGTGGGCATTATGCGGGCGGAGACGCTACCAGGGAACAGAAGTTACAATAGAGCAGGAATTGTAACCAAACAGAAGCTACAAAGATGCAAAAGCTCAGAAGCAGCAGACACTCTGGAGAGACCAAGAACGGCACAGGGAGTGGATGGTGAGGAAGGCCAGTTGGAAGCAAGACAGAGGAGCGGAGAGGAAGCGAACAACTGAAGCCCTTTCGCTGGCACAGCCTCCAAGCCCACAGCCTCCGCCTGCTTGCACCCGTGCTAGCCTCCTCCAGGTCCAGCTCTGCTACAGGAATTGTCTGCGGGCCCCTGGGAAACCGTCTGCATACTGGTCCTTGCACCATGCTCCCCCCACTCAAACCCCCACCCCTCTGGGAGCTGGAGCCCTCCTGCGTCTACTCGATTGTAGACTTGTTTTCTTTCCAACAAAAGAAAATAGTTGGATTATGACCCCCGTTTCCCGACTCCTGGTCCACAGCTCATCCCACTGCCCCAGGTGCAGAAGGACCAGTCACGGCCTCCCTCACAGGTGGCAGATGTTGGCACTTTCCTCTGCAGACACTGGCTGGAAACCCAGTGGGGTCACGGATTGGCCATCTGAAGGCCAGCCAACAGACATTTTTGGTCTGGGGGCCTCAGTGACTCCTTGAAGCTGAATTTGAACGCCTGCAGCCTGGTTTGCCTCAGTCCCCACAACTTCCTATTCATTTAAATCCACCTCTGGCCTCTTAGGCAACTGACTTGCAATGCCTGTTTTGGGCCCAGAGTTTTCCTATGAAGGGTTAGAAAGTAAATATTTTGGGCTTTTGTCAGCCAAGAGGCAAAACCGAGGCCGTTTTGCAGGTACTTCTATGACCAAAGAAAACAAATATTCACCAAAAAAATTTTTTTTATTTGTGGATACTGAAATTTGAATTTCATGTCATGTTCACATGTCATGATATATTTTTCTTCTGATTCTTTTCAACCATGTTAAAAAATGTGAAAGCCATTATTCTTAGCTCACGGGCTGTACAAAAACAGCCAGCCAGCCGGATTTGGCCCACAGACTGGAATTGCTAACCCCTGCCCTAGACTGTCACCTCTGGCAGCACTAAGCACCCAAACATGGTGAGTGCTCAGGCAGGGAAAGGGAAGAAGCAGGACCACGTGGTAAGAACAATAAGGCTGTCAGTTCCAGGAGGGCCCCGCCTGCAGGCCCCTGATTACCAAGCTCCAGGCCACAGTCCTCAATGAGCCCACCGAGACCCCAGCCTTGCCCACCTTACCTTTAAAGTCAAACCACCACTTGAGAGATGGTTTTTGGGATGGGAAGAAGAACAAGATGGTGACAATGGACACGCCGGTGACAGCATCAGAAATAAACCTACAATGACAAGGCCCCAAAGCATGTGACCCCGGGCATCTCAGCAGGCCAAAGTTTGGCAGATTTGCAAATGAGGATTTGTGGAAGGGAATTAGGCCCACTGTGAAGGGGACATTGTTGGAGGCCACCGGATTCTGTCCTGCACTGCACTCAGCAGGGAAGCAACCGCCCATGGATGCAAAAGCTGTTTATCCACAGCTTTCTGGGGCATTTAGACTCTGCTTGAGCCAAACAAATCTTTATCCTCCTAATTCAAGGACCCTAGGAAGAGGGACTTGATCAAAGAGGGAAGAATCTGAGAGCTACAGGGGACTGGGGTCCGTGGAACCCCAATGCATCCGCATATCCGGGGCTCCTGTAACGGCTTGTATGTATCTGTTCAATTCTGCATTCCTCCTGGGATGGGCAGCCCATTCATGCCGACAGAGCCCAGATGGAGGCCCCCTCATAGCCCCGCAAAAACCTCACTACCACCTTTCAAGGATCCACAATGTGTCCTGTGGGGACATTAAGCCCACAGAAGTCCCAGAAACAGCCCTGGAGGGCAGGCATCTTCCACTTCAGATGAGGAATCTAAGGCTCAAAGAGCAGTCGCAGCTTGCCCAGGGTGAGGCCGTGGTCTGTGGAGGAGGTGGCCTTAAACTCAGATATTTCTGGCTCCAAGTTCAATGAAGCACAGAGCCAACTGCCAACAAAAGCGCTTTCAGCCCACACATTTGGGAAGAAGAGTATTCAAATGACCGAGAAACTAGAAAAGAGGGTTAGTATCACTAGAATCGAGAAATACAAACCAAAACACAAATGGAGTACCATTCGTCTGCTAACAGACAGGCAAAACTTGAAAAGGGTGATACTATCTAAAGAGGATGCTGAGAAACATATACCGGTGGTTGGAAAATAAACTTTCTGAAGGGTAGCTGGCAATGTTCGGAAACTTTACACGTGAACACCCCTTGATCCAGCTGTACTTCTAGGAATTTATCCTCAGAAAATAACTGGGCTCTTGTACACAGATTCTGTACAGGGATATTCATCACTGATAAGAGAAGAGAAAATGGAGGGGTTTTAGTAGGGATATGTTTAAATAAATTGTGTATTATAATATACTTAATGAAATACCCTTAATTTGTTTAAAAAAAGATAAATTATCAATTGTTATGTTTGACATGGAAATACAACCAAGATACCTTGTAAATTAAGAAAAAACCCCAAGTTTTTATTTGCAGTATTGGACACAGTCCAAAAAGGAATTGGTTAAATAAATTGAGATGCTTCCAGTCTACAGAATACAATGCAGTGTTTAAAAAGAATGAAGTAGGTCAGAAATAGCAAGCTGTCTATGATATTGTTATTTTCCAGTTTTTTGTTCTATGTACACATCTATGTATGTGTGTATGTATTGATATGGGTTGTGTGTGTATCTGAAATATTACACACCAAACTGTTAATTGTGATAATCTCCAGGGAATGGGACAGAGGGTAGATGAAGGGCAACCAACTTTTACTTTCTCAATTTAGCATTGTCTGAGTTTTCTATAATGAGTATGCACAACTTCTGTAACTAAACAACAAAGAAAAAAGCAGATGACAAATGCTGTGTTTACTGGATTCACATTTCTGTTTAAAAACTTGTGTTTATTAGATATGTTTCTTTTTAGCTAGTTTGTGTGTGTTTTAAAATTAATTGAGGTACAATTAACATGCAATAAAATGCACCCATTTTAAGGATATAGTTCAATGAGTTTTGACTAAAGTATATGGTCCTGTAACCACCAATACAATCGAGATGCAGAGCAGTTCCCAGAGAGGCATTTTTTTTTAATCAGAAAAGATGTATATTAGACCTGGAGACTGAGGTTCTAGGTGATTTTCACTTTCTTTATATTGCTGGAATGTTTATAACATCAGTTTTCATTTGAAAAAAATAACAAAGTACTCACATTTTAGAAAAACAAGAGAATGGTAATAAGAGTCACTTCTCTTGGCTCCATGAAATTATATTGTTTCTTCCTCATACTGACCCTCATGAGATCAGAACTTATACCCTCCATTTTATGGGGGATGGTGCAGGGGGATGGGGGAGGGAGTCTGAGGGTCAGAGGGTAAAGAGTAAAAGAGCTGCTCTATTCAATATGGTAGCCACGAGCCACGTGTGCCTGCTAGACACCATAAATGTGGCAAGACCAAATATGACAAGTGTAAAATACACACCAGATTTTAGTGTGGAAAAAAAGAATGTAAAATATCTCAACAATAATTTATTATATGGATTACATGTTGAAACAATATAGTGTTAAATAAAATACATTATTAAAATTAATTTCACCTGTTTTTTTAAACTTCTTTATGTACTACTAAAATTTTTAAAATTACTATGTAGTTCCCATTACATCTCTACTGGATGGTGCAGATCAAAATCATCAGATCTCACCAAATCCAGGGGATAGATCTCCCGTCTAATCATGTTCTAACTCACACCAGAATTTGACACAGTTGCCCGCTCCCTCTTTTCTTAAAACACTCCCCTCTCTTGGCCTGCGCTAGTCTGTTGCTCAGGGTTTCCACCTACGTCACTACTGCTCCTCTGTTTCTCTAATGTGATCATTCTCTATCCAGCTCCTAAATGTTGGGATTCCTCACGGTCTTCTCTGCTATCCTATATTCTTTCCCCAGCTCAGCCCATCAGTTCCTATGGATTTAAATTTGAAATTTATATGGTGACCCCCAGGTTTATATCTGCAATCTGACACCTCCTCTGAGCTCCAGGCTTGCATATACAACTACCCTTTGTGGTATTTGAAAGGCATATTAGATTTGACACATCTAAACCAAGTCCAAAATGGAACTGTCTATAAGCTATCCCGAACCCCCTAAAGAAATGTTCTTCTTCCAGCCAACCACCTATGTGGTACTCCTTTCCCTCATGCCCCCAAATCCAACCCAAGTCCTATCATTTCTAACTTTGAACTATATCTTGACTACTCCATCTCCATTGCCACCACTTTTATTCAAGCCATCGAAGCCTCCCCCCTTGACCAGGGGTCAGTAAACAACTCCTATAAAGGGCACACGATAAATATTTTTGGTTTTGTGGGCCATATGGTCTCTGTCACGATGTGACTTTGACACTGTAGCATGAAAACAGCCAGAGACAATATGTAAATGAATAAGTATGGCTATTATGTTCCAATAAAACATTATTTGTAGATACTGAAATTTGAATTTCATATAATGTCATGTGCCACAAAATATTATCTTTTCATTTTCCCCTAGCCACTTGAAAACATTTTAAAAGATTCAAAAACAAGTGGTGGATCATATTTGGTCCATAAGCCTTGGTTTCCCGACCCCTGTCCTAGATGACAAGGGTCATCCAGGTGTTGTTACAGCTCCTAACTGTTCTCCTCACCTATATTTTGCCCCACTATCCATCTTCTAATAAATGTAGCTAAGATTTTACTGAGTTCTTTCAATCACTTGACATGTATTATTTATTTTCAGAACAATGAGAAGTGTACTATTATTATGCCATTTTACAGATGAGGAAGCTGAGACACAGAGAAGTTAAGCCACTTAAAACCCTCCAATAGCTTGCCACTGCTCTCATTAAAAAAAAAAAAGAAGACTAAAACACTTAGCATGTCCATAAGACCCTCCATGATCTGGTCCCCACCTGCCCTTCCAGCCACATGTCAGCCAATTTTCCTCCCTTCCCACCAGACCTTGGTTACACTGGGCTTCTTTTAGTTCTTCGAATGTATGAAGTTGGTTTCCACCTCAGGCTTTTAGTAGATATCCCCAGTGTATCTCTTAATTTTTACTCTTCCTAAACTTAGGTTCTTCCCAGAACTATCCAAATGCCCCCTACTCCATTCTTTTATAGTATAACCCTCTCGCTCTTTCTTTCATAGCACAAACGAGCAGCTGTGCAAATTGTATTTGTTTTTATCTGTGTTCCCAGGATCTGGCATAACGTTTAGCACAAAGTAGGTGCTCAATAAAAGTTGACTGATTGAATGAATGAATGAATGATGTGCTCAGGTTTGCATGGTTTGTAAGTGGCAGAGCTGGCATTCGAGCCCAGTTTTGTCTGATTCCAAAGGCAAAGATTTTAACACATGAGAACCCAAATGTTTTATCATCCAAGAGAGAAAAAGAGGGAACTGTTAACAATTATACGGGACACAAGGTGTAAATCCAGCCCAGTCCTCCTGGGCTGTACTGCCTCCTCAGGTCCAGGTGGCCCATCCCATAGGTCCCCAGAGTCTCACCCGGGGGTGAAGAGGCTGGCCCAGCCAGGGATGAACTTCGGGTCCCGGGAGAAGAGGAGGATGGCGAACATGCAGAAAAGGATGAACACAGCCTGTTCAGCAAACCTGTGGCACAGAGATGCAGGCACCATGGTGATTGTGGGCTTTGGGGGGACCTCAGCATAGGAAGGCCTCAGGCAGGGGATGCTGGGTGTGACTGGGCCCAGGGCCTGCCTCTGAGAGCTGAAAAAAGTAATTCACTCCCCAGGAGGTCCCGAGAATGATGGGAGTGGTGTCCCTGGTATAAGTGTTTCCTTTCCTGGGGTTTCCACACTCCCCCAGGATCCTTCCTGAGCATTGAGCACTCCTCCTGCAAATTACTCACAGCATCCCCACTGGGAATTTCCCAGAGTCCTAGGGACAATCCAGAGAGAGAAAGAAAACAAAACAGAGTCAGAATCAGAAAAGCAGAGTGAAAGGAAACTGACAGAAACAGAGAGGTAGGCAAACAGAGAGGAACAGCATACATACAGAGGGGGACAGACACAGAGACGGACAGACATGGAGAGAGGGGTAGACAAAGGCAGAAAGAATTCCAACTACTGGAGCAAATATCTACCCAATGTGCCCATTTCACAGATTGGGGAGCAGGACCCAGAGAGGGTTAGTGCTTTGCCCAAGGTCACACAGGAAGTTAGCAGCAGAGTCAGACATTTGTGGGCAGGCCTGCTAATTCTTAATTATTTTTACCACATGAGAAACATGCACTAAACAAGGTTCTGGGTATGCCGTGAACCAGGAGGGAAATTACGCTCTATGCAGGAAGGTGGCAGGTCCCCACACCAAGTATAACCTGAAGGGCTTTCTGGTCCTCAGGGTATCTGCCTGAGTGCCAGGGCAAGAGGCTGACTGTGTAAGGCATCTCCCAACCTGCCATCTCTAGGCTCCCAGGCCATTGGTCCTGAAATTTCCTTGGGACTCAGTCTCCAAGGGGGTCAGGGGTTAAGACAAGAGGTAGCTCTCCTGAAAGTCTAGTGCCCAGCTTTCTCCCCAACCCGAGGACCCCTTTGCCACGCACTTGGTGGGCCCCAGGTTCTGGAATTCCTCCCGAATCACAGCTCGAGCCCTGTTTTCTGCATCAGTTCTGATCTCAGATTTCTTCTTCCTCCAGCTCCTGAAACAGAAAGTGGGGAGGTAAGGAGTGGCCACTGCAGATGTAACTAACATCTCACATACCCCGCCACCTTCTGGTAAGGCCTCATTCTCTCTGTTCAGGAGACACTGCAACAGCCTGCTGAGTGGACTCCCTCCCTCCAGGTTCCCTTTCTAAAATCTGTTCTCCCCACCTGTAGCCTGGATGGTCTTTTAAAAATGTGAATCTGATCATATGATTCCCAGGCTTAAAATCCTTTAGGGGGTTAGACAGACTCATGAATAAACAGACAAACCAAGGAAACAAAACAGAAAGTCCAGAAATAAAACCAACCATAAAAATGGGGGTTTAGTCTCTGATAAAGTTAGTATCTCAGATTGGTGTGAAAAAGATGACCTATTCAGTCAATGGTGTTGGACACATAGACCAATGGAATAGAATTGAGAGTCCAGAAAAAGACCCATACGTCTATGGTCAGTTGATTTTTGGTAAGAGTGCCAACACCATTCAATGGGGAAAGAATAATCTTTCAACAAATGGTGCTAGGACCACTGGATAGCCAAGTGCAAAAGGATGAATGTGGGCCACTACCTCATACCACGTACAAAATTCAATTCAAAATGGATCAAAGACATAAATATAAGAGCAAAATCTATAAAATCTTTAGAAGAAAACATAAGGGTAAATTTTCATAACCTTGGATTAGGTAAATATTTCTTAGATACAACACCAAAAGTACAAGCAACAAAAAATATATAAATTGGACTTCATTAAAATTAAAAACTTTTGTGTCTCAGTAAGTGGTGTTGTGACAACTGGGTGGTCATCTGGAACAAAACAAAGTTGGATCCAAATCTGCACCCTAAAGTTGGATCCTCACACTGAACCTTAAGAATAAACTCCAAATAGGTAAAAAAAATTTTAATGTAAAAAACATAAAAATGCTAGAAGGAAACATGGGATTATTCTAACTCCTATAATGGGATGACTTTTCTAACTGTAATTGAAAATTCAGAAGGCACATGAGAAAAGATTGATAAATTCATATACATAAAAAGATTTTTAAAATTCTGCATAGAAGAAAGCATCATATGCAAAGTAAAAAATCAGGAAAAAATATTTCCAACTCATACCGCAAAACAGGCACTAATCTTAAAATATATAAAGAGCACTAGAAATCAATAAGAGCAATACCAGCAATCCATTTTAAAAATGCACAAAAGATATAAACACACAGTTTAACAATTCACAGGAAAGGAAATACCAGAGACCCTTGTGAATAAACAAAAAGTTTTCACACTGCCCCCCCCAATATGAAAGGTTCCTCAAAATTACTCCTAAAACAAATGCACATTATTTTTCTCTTATCAGACTGGCAAAAATCCACCTTGCTGCATGGACACAGCCACTCTCATACATCGTAAATGGGGGAACAAATTAGTGCAATTCCTTTTGGAGAACAACTCGACAAAATCTATTAAAATAAGTGTTTACTCTCTGACCCAGATATCCCACCTATGGCAATTTTTCTCAAAAAATACTTGTTACTATACAAAATGGTATCTGTTAGGGAGACCAGTCACCAGGAAATATACTGTATCTGCTTGTATTTGCTTACAGAAACTGCAGATTACCCAAGAAACCAGAAAAGTGGATACCTGTTTGGGGGGATGTATCGGGTGAATTAAGGTAATTGAAGGCATGGTTGGGAAGAAGAATCCTCACTGCGTACCTCTCGGCATTGTTTTTGACCTTTGAACCATGTGTATGGGCTGCTTATCCAAATGAAATAAACAAACGAATATTTTTTTAAAATTCACAATGGTTCTTCTGTATGAAGGTCAATCTCCCACAAGGCCCTCAATGATCTAACCCAGAGTTTCTCAAACTTGGAGCTATTGACATATTAGGGCAGAATCATTCTTTGCTGTGGGGTGGGATAATTCTTTGGTGTAGGGGGTTGACTTGTATATTGTGGAATGTTCAGCAGCATCTTTGGCCTCTACCCACTAGGGTAGTACTTCCTCAGTTGTGACAACCAAAATGTCTCCAGACATTGCCAAAAATTCCCTGGTCAGGGGTGGGTGTGCGGGGGAAAAATCATGCAGAGTTGATAACTTCTGCCTCATTCCCTAGCCTCACCTCCCACGAATCTCCCTCACAGCCTGAAGTCAGTCACCTCACCCCTCTCTCAGTTCCAGAACGTCCCTTGCTATCTCTGGCCTTGGGGCCTTTGCACTCACTGTTCTGTCTGCCTGGAATACTCTTCATCATCCCCATCTCCTTCTCTCCCTTTACTGAGTTAATCATATCACTGATAATGGAAAAGAATCTGAAAAAGAATATATATGTATATATCTAAATCACTTTGCTGTACACCTGAAACTAACTCAATATTGTAAATCAACTATACTTCAATTTAAAAAATCTTATCTATGCTCAAAACTCACTTTCCCAAGGAAGCTCTCCGGACCTCCCAGTTAGGTGAGGGCCCTCCAGTGCACACCCTCATATCTCACTATTCTTTTCTTTCGCAGCACTTATCACGACTGGTATTTCTGTTTGTTTAGCTGAGCATTGTCTGTCTCCCCCACCTGGGGTGCAAGCTCTCCAAGGGCAGGAACTCTCTCAGCCTTGCCCAGCTGCTGCACCCTTAGCACCTGCGACAGGGTCAGGCACACAGCAGATGCTCAGAGGACACTTGCTGAGTGAGGATGGTGTCATAGGATTGGCTTGAAACTTTTCTGTTACCCACCCAGAAACACCTCTCTCACTGGGCTTCCCTCCACTGGTATCTCCCCCATCACAGCCTCCCTTGAGACCAAGTACTGCAGGTGTCTGCTAAACAGGTAGACGGGAGAAAAGGGCTCTGTTTCAGGCCCAGTACCAGACAGTTTTCATACTCTCCCTCATTCAGATTTTACTTTAGCTATAGCTCATTTTTATCCCCAGTCTACAAGTGAAGAAATTAAAGAAGGCAAGACTCAGGGAGGTTACAGAATTGCTCAAGATCATGCAGAACCATGATGCGAACTCTGGTTTATCTGAGCCCAGTGTTTGGGCTTGCCTCTCTGGGCTAAGCCAGGCTTGGAACCCTGAGTTTCTGCTTTGAGAGGTCACCACAGTCAGAGCCTTTCTGTTCTCAAGGTGTTTCACATCTCTTTGATCCAGAGTAGCTTCTACTTGTTTCCAGCACTTGTTTTCCCACTCTATAGATGAGAAAAATCAAAGCCCAGAGAGGTAAGGGGACTGGGTCAGAGAGCACGACTTTACAGCATGGCTGCTACCCCTAGCCCAGAGCTGCAGATCTTATTTTAATATTTCCCAAACTCCAGGCATTCACAAGCTACCTCCACAAATGTTCCTATATCACATACCGTATGGCTCGTATTTCCTTAATATTTCCCTGCAACTAGATTCAGCGTTTTAATTAAAGAAATGTATTTAAATAGAAAACTTATCTATCACTCCCATACGTGGCAAAAAGAATCCCTCGTTATACACAGAAAGTACCCATAACATTAAATTCATGAAGGCAAAGCAACATTACTACATCTGGCTAGACACTACTGCTGGCTTACGTCTCTTGGCTTGAGGCTTGTGCTTTGTATTTTAAAAGGTTGATCTGGAAATGTTGGAGAGGTGTCCAAGTTTTTCCTCACCCTCTTAAGACTTTCTCCCCAGCATAAGCAGATTGATTCTACAAGAGTTGATAAAGGAATATTTTTCCCACTGTATGAGTCAGTGTTATTTAATACCTTGTCCTCATGCCACCTCAAATTATCTCCTGCACTGGGACCCCGCAAGACGGGAAACACTGCCCTTCTCCTCTGCTTTGAGTGTGTGGCTGACTTAAAGAGCAATACTGTCAGTAATTACTGATGATGAGTGGCATCCACAGAGGGCCTGGGTGTAGCAGGCAAGTCCCCACACCACCTGTAATCCTCACATCCCTAGGAGGCGAGCACTACTAGTCACCACAACCGACGTGAAATTTTAACGACTTAGGGAGGCCGGCCACCTGTGAGTGAGAAGGGAGCTGGGACTCCAGCACAGCTCACCCTGCCTCAAAGCTCAAGTTAAACGCCAGGGTACCTCAAGGTTATCCCTCCGTACAGGAAGGAGATCCAGAGCCAGCCCACCAGCAGGAACAGCAGCATGAGAGGGAAGGCGAAGATGAACCAGGAGCCGAAATTTACTACGTCACACTGTGGGAAGAAACTGGAGAAAAGAGAGGGGTGAGAGCCCGTCGAGGGTAGCCATGCGGATGGATGCATCTGAGACGTACACAGGAAAACTAAAAGAAGCATGCTAAACACGAACAGTGGGGTTGAAGGTCTTTCAAGTTTTTCTTTTTTCCCCCTATATTTTCTGAGTGTCCTATAATGTGCCTATATCATGCATAATAAGAATAAACTAATAAAATGTATTTGGGGGGGCAAAGGCCAAGGAGAACACTTGGGGCAGCTATTTCCCTGTCTCCCCAGGTTCCCGGCTAGGGAATCAAAATCCCACATTAACCCCCATATTCCTTTCAAATACCCTCCTCCCTGACCAGAAGGTCCAAGCTTGTGCAATTAAATGTTGTATATGATTTGCATGTGATTTGCATGTAATTTACCCCAAATCTTTCATGTTTGGTATTTTTACTTACAGCTCCAGCATTTCCCACCTCATTTCTTTTCAAGTTGGAACAAAGGCTCACATCAGAGTGGGCAGGCAGCCTGAAAACTCTCTGATAGCAACTGCCGCCCCGCCCCCCCATTCTCCCCACCTCCCAACTCAGGAGCAGCCCCTGAGGCCCCCTGGAACCCGCGTCCATCCTGCCAGCCCTGGGCATGTGCTCCAGCGAGTCCTAATACCAAACACCCTGCTGTGTCCCCCCAGTCGACTGCACCTGTGCTGGCACTTTCTGCTAATTGAGGAGACTAAAGGGTCAGCCCACATCGTCCCCACATCTAAAGCAGGACCATCTTGGCTTCTGGCTTTTCAGTTGCTAACCAAAACAAAAAAATCCCACAAGGCATAGCCAGGTCTTGCTCAAAAAATGGAGATGAAAAGACATCAAAGGTTTGCAGTGGGCTTAAATCAACTGGGAAAATACCAACGCCCAGCTCCCATCCCACACCTCCCAAATCAGGATCTCTGCACCCGAGACCCAGGCATACTTTTTTCACCTTCCCCAGGGTCTCAAAATGCACTCACGGCTAAGAATCACTGTTTGCTTTTTTTTAAATCATAATCTTAAAATCAAAGCATTTGAGAACCTGAGAATATTGTGGAGGGTTAAGGTTTTAAAATTGGCTCATGAGATTAAAACATAAGTGTACTTAAAATTTCTCATGAAAAGAACTTTGACTACCCACAAGTATAGCACTGATTTATGTACACCAAACCCAATCTCAAGAAGACCAACCTGGCCAGCTCTCCCTCCATCATCTTAGTAAGTCCTTGACTCTTTGGTTGAATACCAGGTAAAGAGGTTGGTCAGCAGCTGGGGCCATGCTGAATGCCAAATAACTCTGTCACTGTTTGTCAAAATGCTTGCATTTGGATTCACATAGATTAAATGGGTACAGGATGCATCTCCACTGCAACGGAGTCTTAGAAACCCTACTTCTCAGAATCCTGGAATCTAAAAATCTTAGAATCTTGAAATACAAGAATTTTAAAAAATCTTCAAATGAAGAGGTTTGGAATTATGGAATCGATGTCATGTTGTCTGAAAATCCTTGTCTTTGACTTTCTTGCCCTGACAGTTGGCCACCCTACCTCTGTTTGAACAGTTTCAGTGCCGGGGAGAATATACCTCTTGGCAGACTCCACTCCATTCTGGCCCGTGTACCTGGTTGCAAAGTTTCTCCCAGGACACCACAGCCACAGATCAACACCTCCCATTGGGGTCAGTTTTCAAAGCAGACATCATATCATGCCACCCCCTGCCCTCAGCTCTCCACTGACTCCCCATCTCAGTTGAAGGAAAAGTTACATGCTTACAATGGTTGCCTTAGTCTGGCTTCTTCTGACCTTACCCTCTTCTGCACCCCAGCCTCCCCGGTTTTTGTGCTGTTCCCTGAGACTGTTCCCACCTTTGTACAGGCTGTCCCCTCTTTCTGGGATACTCTTTCCTCCTTCGTTGGCCTAGCTCACTCCCTCACTTCTAGGTCTGTGCTCAAGCGTCACCGTATTAGAGAAATCGCACACTCCTCACCAACCTACATAAAACAGCACCCACTCCTGTCACCTCTACTCCTTTACTGCCTTATTTTATCTCATAGCTTATCACACCAACATATTATATGTTCATTTGTCTTTTCCTGTATTGCCTGTCTCCCCTATCAGAATGGAAGTTTCCCAGTGCAGGGACTTTGCTGGGGTTTGTGCATCACTGGGTCCCCCGAGTCTGGCCACAAGACACTTGGTATGACAGAGGGGAAGGAGCGTAGGAGCAGAAACCTCAGTGCCAGGGCGGGGGTTGGGGAGGAACACTTGCTTTTACCTCTTGAGCTGCCCAAGCAGGATGAGGTTGGGGGCTGTGCCCGTGAGGGTGGCAGTGCCCCCGATGCTGGCAGAGTAGGGGATGGAGATGAGGAAGCCCTTCCAGATGTTTCTGCGATATTCCTCCTCCTTCTTGGAGTTAGCCTGGAGATCCATTGGAGTCTCTGCCTCCTCAGGGCAGTCTTTGCTTTAAACAAACCCACAGAGAAGCCATTCAGAATACATTCAGAATTCCTTGCCTTGTGGGGGAAACACACTACTTAGGGCAGGAAGGCTGAGCTTTCTAGGAGGTAACTGACACAAGCATCAAAAACCTCTAAAAATATGCAAATCTTCTGCTTAAGCGTTCTACTCTAAGAATCTGTCCTAAAGAAATAATTGGGCAAGGACCTCAACTGTGGGTACAAGAACATTCACCATGGTATTAAACATAATTTAAATCGAAAACAACTACATATCCATCAAAAAGGGATTGGCTAAAGAAAAATGATTCTCTTTCTGCATGGAACACCAGTGTAGCTATTAATTTAGGTGGGTGTTTATTAAGACATAAAGATGTCCAGTATATAAAGTGAAAAGGTAGGTAACAGTACTACTTAGTTTTTTCAGTTTAAAAAATAGTCACATGTTTCATGAATATATGAGTATTAAGAAAAGTCTAGAATGGCATACACAAAGTTATTTTGGTGCCTCCTTGGCAGGGGGGATTATGGCTTTTTTTTTCTCTTTGACTTTTATTTATATTTTCTGGGTTATTTTTCCTGGTACAGTTCAAGAGTTTTAGGAAAAAATAAAAACTAAGAATTGTTAATCATACAGTAAAAGATAATGATGTTGACGCAAATTTATTGAGGTGCAAAGATATCCACTGCATTCCATTAAATGAGAGGACAGGGTGCCAAATGGCATATATAGCATGATCAATTTTTTACACTAAAAATGCATTTATATATACAAAGAGATATCAAGGAACAGTCTAGAATGGTATTCATTTAACTGTTTTAAATTCTTTTAGGGAGTAAGATGCTGAGTACATTTTTCCTTTTGTTTAAGAGGTGTTTTTTTTTTAACCTGTGCATTTATAAAATGTTTATAAGTGAATGAAATTAAGAACTGTCCCTGTGTAGCAAATCAAAAATTTTTTTAAGGAATGAAAGATATTTCAAATATCTTCAGGCCTTAATTACTACATGAGGGGCCCCTTTTTCAGAGGACGGCAGGGATGTGATCTGGGGTCTAAAAGGAAGACAAGCACTGGAGGCAGCTGGAGATGGATGTCATGGCCTGACTTTTCAGGGTGAGAGGCCTGGTCAGGAACCTGGGGCCTCCGTCAGAGCTGAGGCCCCAACCAGACTCAGCCTCCCAGGAGAAAATGAGCAGAAAGGGCCCTAGGGCTCATCTCCTGCCGCCCTTTTCTTGTTTGGATGGGAAACTGAGGCCCAAGTGGAGATAGGATTTGCATCCAATGGACATGTTGTTCTAAAGAGTTGGGGTCAGTCTTTTCCAGTAGACTCTGCACCACCCCCTCACTGGCAGATGGTTAAAACAGATTCCCAGGATGCGTGGCAGTGAGTGGCTGGGCCACTCACAGAAACTATATCTCAAGGCTGGACTCAAAGCCCCCATATATGGTGCCAAGAAGGAGAACGGTCCATGGGACAAGACAAACCAATGTAAGACCACTTTTCTCCTCTGCTAGAACCCTCCATCAGCTTCCATCTCACTCAAAGTCAGAGCTACATCAATGGCCTACGAGGGCCTACATGCTGAGTCCCTCCACCACTGCCCCCTTGCCACACAAGCAATCTCTCTGACCCCACCTCCTATACCTTCGACTCACCCAACTCCAGCCACACCGGCTTCCTGGCTGCTATGTACTCCCTCTGCTGAGAACACCTTCCCACAGATCCCCCATGGCCTTTCACCTCTTCTAGGTGTTTACCCAAGAATGACGTTCTTAGTGAGGCCTCCCCTGACCACCCACTTTAAACCTGCCCTCTCGCCTACCCCAACCCCTCCCTAGCCTTCTTTCCCACTTTGTTCTCCTGCCTAGCATTCGCCAACCTTCTGACCCACTATGGATTTTACTTGCATATTTGTTTCTTATCACAGGGATGTAAGCTGACGAGGGCAAAGTTTTTGTCTGTTGGTTGCTGTAACTCTGAGAGTGCCTGGCTCATCGTAAGCTCTCTAAAAATATTTGTTGAATGAATGAAACAGACCTGATTGATGTCCAGCAACACCTTGAGCAAGTCACTTTACTTCCTGCTGTTTGTTTCATCACCATTAAGCTGAGATAACAATGCTATTAATAACAAGCGTTACCATCCATGCATGGAAGGCCCAGCAAACTGCTTTATCTACATATCTCATTTAATCTCAAAATTACCCTGTAAGATGGGTTCTGATATCATGCCCAGCTGGTAGGTGAAACTAACTTGAGGTTCAGAGAGGTTAAGTGACTTGTTCAAATCACAGAGCCAGTAAGCTGCAAAACCAGGGTTCAAAGCCAGATCTGCGTGGTCCCAAACCCCAAGATCTTATCCACTCTGCCATATACAAAAGACACCAAAGACTGAACATGCTGTCAATGTGGAGACACTTCCTAAGTCACAGAAATGTGAAGGGTTGTTATTGTCTAGGGATATTTTTGTGTTTACAGCCAACTAACATGATACACTCTTTCCTCTTTGACTGTCATGCGGTTTATGCCTCCTGCTCTTCTGGCCCCTCCTTCCAGACCCTCCACCTCACCAGACCTCTAGGGATTTAATGTGCTCCTCTGCCCTTCCCACATTTGCTTTTGTCAAGGAGGCTGGCGCCAAAGGGACAAGTGGTGGAAACTTCAGCATTAGGTCATTTGGAGAAAAACTAGGGGATGGGTGGGGGGTTGCTTGCAGCACTGAATTCTTGTTCATCATCTCCTTGGGTCAAGCACCGGCTCCTCTATGAATTTCACCAGGAACTCACTCTTCTGTGCCGGCAATAAATTGCATCTCCATGGGCACAGTGTGCAGGCCGTTTTTCCGCACAGCAGCTAGGAGGAAAGAGCACGATGTCTTTAGTGTGATGCAGTAAGTGCGACAGGAGTGTCCCATTCTTGGGCAGCCAATCAAGAGTGCTTCTTCAGGTCCCAGCCTACGCTATTCATTGGATCAAAAAAAAAAATTGGCACTCAAAATTCCAACCTCCTGTCTCAGTCATCCTTGTTTGGAGATAGCTTCAGGCCTGTGGGCAGGGAGTTAGCTGCAAGGATGCTTGACAACCCATAATTGAAGCCTAGGCTAATCTGAACTGCTATTGTCAAAGGGATGTTTGGGAAAGACTGGCTGTGAGTGATAATGGATCAGCAATGGGATTGGTGACTCCAATCTCCCATTCATTCATTCGTTCATTCATTCAAAAAGCATTTATTGAGTACCTACTATGTGCTATGAACTATGAGCTTGGGGTACACAATGAATAATATAGGACAATATCCTTGCTCCCATGAAAATTATATTCTAGAAAGGGTGACAGTCAGTTATCAAATAAAGGAAATTTCAGGTTGTGATGAAAGTGATGGAGGAAATAAAACTGGGCAATGTGATGGAAAGTGATTGTAGGTGGACTACTGTGATCGGGCCAACAGAGAGGACATAGGAGCTGATGGTGTTTGAGCTGAGACCTCAAGGATGAAAAGGGGCCAGTCATAAGAAGAGCTGGGGGAAGAGGAGTTGGGGCAACAGGAACAGAAGTGCAAAGGCCCTGAGGTGAGAGTGTGTCTGGTGTGTTGGGAAGCAGAAGGGAGACCAGTGGGGCTGGAGGGCAATGAGGGAAAGGGACACCAGGAGGAGGGGAGGTGGGAGAAGAGGCAGAGGGTGGGGTGGCAGGAAGTGGTCTGGATCATGAAGAGGTCTTGGAGCTCACAGTAAAGACTTCAGCTTCTCCTCTGAGTCAGATGGGAGTGGAGCCAGGAGAGTGTTTGAGAAGAGTCAGGGCAGGCTCTGACTTTGTTTGAAAAGTATCCCTTCAGAAGACCTAAATAGACATTTCTTCAAAGAAGACATACAGATGGCCAACAGGCACATGAAAAGATGCTCAACATCACTAATTGTTAGTGAAATGCAAATCAAAACTACAGGGAGGTATCACCTCACACTGGTCAGAATGGCCATCATCAAAAAGTCTACAAATAATAAATGCTACAGATGGTGAGGAGAAAAGGGAACTTTACTGTACAGTTGGTGGGAATGTAAATTGGTGCAGCCACTATGAAGAACAGTATGGAGGTTCCTTGAAAAGAGAAAAATAGTTACCATATGATCCAGCAATCCCATCTTGGGCATATATCCAGAGAAAACTCTAATTTGACAAGATACATGCACCCCAAAGTTCATAGCAGCACTATCTACAATAGCCAAGACATGAAAGCAACCTAAGTGTCCATCAATAGATGAATGGATACAGAAGATGTAATACAAACACACACACACACACACACATATACACACAATGGAATATTACCCAGCCATAAAAAAGCATAAAATAATGCCATTTGCAGCAACATAGATGGACCTAGAGATTATCATACTAAGTGAAGTCAGATAAAGACAAATATATGATATCACTTATATGTGGAATTGAAAAGTGATACAAAATGAAGTTATTTACAAATCAGAAACAGACTCACAGACATAGAAAACAAACTTGTGGTTACCAAAGGGGAAAGGGAGGGAGGGATAAATTAGGAGGTTGGGATTAACAGATACACATTACTATATATAAAATAGATATACAACAAGGACCTACTGTATAGCACAGGGAACTATATTTAATATCTTGTAGTAATCTAAAGTGGCAAAGAATATGAAAAAGAATATATATATATTCATATCTAAATCACTTTGCTGTATACCTGAAACTAACACAATGTTGTAAATCAACTATATTTCAATAAAAACAAAATTAAATGAAAATGAAAAAAATCCCTTGTTTGATAGGTCATTCTCCTCAAAGGAGCCTTTGATAGCATCCTGGAGACAAGAAAAACTGAAGGGGTTAAAAGCTCCTGCAGCTGAAACCATCACCAAAGGTAAAAGAATCCATCCCTTGGCATTGGGAGTGTGACCGGTGCTGAACACACAGGTTCTGGGTTCAAATCCTAGCTCCATCACTTGCTTTTTGACCTTAGATCAATGTGGTTCCCAAATGGGGACCGATTCTGCCTCCAAGGGACATTGGGCAATGTCTGGAGACAGTATTGGTTGTCACAACTGGGATAAAGGTGGTTGGGTGCTACTGGTATCTACTGGTCAGAGGTCAGAGATGCTGCTTAACATCTTACAATACGTAAGTCAGCCCCCACAACAAAGAATTACCCCACCCCAAACGTCAACAGTGCTGAAGTTGGGAAGCTTTGGCTTAGATGAATGTCTTGATCTCCTTGTACCACTTAAATTCATAAAGTGGAAGTAATAATTCTCCTAGAGTTATCAACAGGATTAAAGAATTGATTCATTTGTTATAGACAATGTTTTCATCCCCCCAAAACTCATATGTTGAAACATAATCCCCAGTATTAAGAGGTGGAGTTTTAGGGAGGTGACTGAGTCATAAGAGAGAAGCCCTCATGAATGGGATTAGTGCCCTTAGAAAAGACACCCCACGGAGCTTCCTTGCCCCTTCCACCTTGTGAAGACACAGCAAGAAGGTGACTGTCTATGAACCAGGAAACAGGCCCTTAACAGACACCAAATCTGCTGGCACCTTGATCCTGGACTTCGCAGCCTCCAGAACTGGGAGAAATAAATACCCAGTCTATGGTATTTTTGTTACAGCAGCCTGCATGATAAAACATCGTTTAAAGCAGGGACCAGCAAACTTCTTCGGTAAAAGGCCAGACAGTAAATATTTTAGGCTTTGGAGGCCATATGATCTCTGTTGTAATCACTCAAATCAGCCACGATACCATGAAAGCAGCCATAGACAATACAGAAATGAGTAAGTGTGGCTAAACCTTTATTTTTGGACACTGAAACAGAATTTCATATAATCTTCACACATCACAAAATAGTCCTCTTCTTTTGATTTATCCAAGAGTTTAGAAATATAAAAATTATGCTCAGCTCACAGGCTGCACAAAAAAACAGGCGGCAGGCTAGATTTAGTGGGCCCAGTTTGCCAGCTCCTGATTTTAAAAATGTAACAGGAATTTGAGCACTAGTGAGGATTTAGTAAATGTGGGTCACTATTAAGAAAGAACAAAAAAGTGGCCCGACGCCTGGAACTAGTCTGACCCAGATATGACACATCGTTCTCTTGTTGGGCCTAAATAATCTTACACATCACCAACTTGAGACAAAGTCACTCTGAGATTGATAAAATGATAAAATGAGCTACAGCAAGGACTTTCGAATCTTGTTTAAACTCAAAGCCACTTGCCACCCACAAAATACTGAGCATCCCCTTCTCTTGCTAAATAAATGGCTACTTCTTTATCCAACCATAGAATTGCCCCTGATTTCTGACGGCACCCAATATAGAGCAAATCCTGCTTCCTTAGACCCCAACCCCCACCTCAAATGCCCCAACCAAAGCCCGAATTCTATGAGAGGTGCTTTCTAACACCCTCTTACTGAGTTGATCGTGGTTGCCCATGGTATGCACGCTCCCTTACCGTGGCAACGATAACAAACTCAACCTGTTTAACTATAGATGTGTTCCTGGGGACTTCTGGCCATGTGGACCGGGAGGAAGGGTCTAGACTCCAGCCTCATCTCTTCCCCTGTCTCACCCAGGGGTTTGGGGAAGTCCCTTCCTTTCTCCACTTTTGGCTGTTCTTTCCCTGCTGGGACCATGAAGAAGCAGGATTCCATGGTGACTAATTGGGTCATTTTTACTGTGCCCAAGGCTGGCCCTGCTGACCACCAGCAGGGGATCTGAAAGCTAAATTCAGATCAACTCACCCTGGGCCATGGGGATGCGGGCCTCACGGCTCCCGTGATGGGAACACATCCACATGCTAAGCACGAGGCCGGAGGCCAGGGCACTGAAGCAGGAAGTGAAGAGCTGTTAATAGGACACTGATGCTGGAGGGCAAAGTCGCTCCCCAGGGGATGGCCAGACGGGAAGAACTCTGACCCAGTGACTCCCTAGCCCCCACCCGTCTTCAGCTCACTCTGTATGCATCCCACCCAGGTCAGGACCACAGCTGTCACGCAGCATCAGATGTCCGCAGAGCTCACCAGCATCTCAGGTATAACAATAGGCCGCCCTCCTCCACCCTGGATGTACATTAGCGTCTCCTAGGAAGGCCCAGAACCCATCCTGGAGGTTCTGCTTTAGTGGCTCTGGAGCAGGGCTGAGGCCTCAGTATTTTTTAAAAGCTCTGCAGGTGATTATTTTGTGTAGCCAGGGTCAAGAAGACTCCCCTGAAGTTACAGATGGGGAACTGAAGCCTCCAGTGGTTGCCTATGACCTCAGAGGGGGTGTGTGCCCACCAGTTTGCCACAGAGCCCACCTGGACCCTTTTCTTATCCATGGAACTCGGCTGCTGCCAGCAGCTGAGCTGGAGAGCCTCGACATAAAACTGTATGTGCTACAGACAAGACAGAGGTGGTGATTCACACACACACAACTGTAAACAGTACGTATCTGTAGCATAGGTCCTGGATTCAATCCCCATTAAAAAAAAAGATTAGTAAAGAGGGAGTTTCACTTTTTCCTTATGCAAATTAGTAATATGAAAAATTTTATATCATGCATTATTTTTTCTAATGGTGATGATAATAAAACCAATGAAGATGAAGTTGAATACAAACAGGAAAACCAAGGTGCACTCAGCTTGTAGCAACTCACCTACTCTTAATCATGCATCCAGGGTTCATCTCTATGCTTCCTGTGTCCACTGTGATCCACGTGACCACACAAAAACAGGCCAAAGTCTCCAAAGGGTCTGACTTTCTTGGGTCCAGAAATCGCTGGCTGGTTAGGAGACTGGTGCTTATGTAAGGCCTTATTCAAATAATAACAATCCCAGAGTTTGTGTTGGGCGGGGGAACTGAGGACTTTCACATTTGGAATCTTACAGCAGCCTCAGAACAGCCTGGGGGAGCTAGGCGGGGCTTTTACCTTCCTCTTTCCACCTGGGGAACCTGCGGCCCAGGGAGGTAAGTTAAGGTTGGGATCAAGAGGGCCCAGCGGGTTAGTGGCAGAGTCAGGACTACTGATTCCCTACCCCTTGAATCTCCCTCCATCTCCGAAGGCACCACCTGGCTCTCAGAAGGTGTAACCTGGAACTGCTAACTCTAGTCTAACCTCCCTGGTGTGAGTGAAATGTTCTTGAAGTCTGGCACACGGAAGGCCCTCAGGAAGAGTTCTGGTATCAAATTAGGTAAAGAGCACCCCAGGGAAAGTCAAAGATCCCCACGTTAGGCAGGCTTACATCCATTAATTCATTTAGCATTCACAACCTAGGCAGTAAGTATTAATACCCCACTTCATGTATGAGGAAACTGAGGCTTGGAACAGTTCAGTAACTGGGTTCATTCATTTATTCATTTATTAATTCTACACATTTATTGAACACCTACGGCCTGCCAGTGTTCTGGGTGAGCAATACTATAGTTCACAGCAATGAAAAAGATGACACAAGTTCCCGTGGAACCTGGAGTCCATGCAGGAGACAGACAATAAACAAATAAGTCCCTCTCAGCTAGGAGTCATATAAAACTTCAACCTGAATCAAGGTGTAGGGCCTTATTACCCATTCCTCCCAATTCCTGGATCTCTCTCTCTCTCTCTTTTTTTTAAGAGGCTGCACCATTTGACTTTCTACATTTCACTTTCCACTTTTACTTTTTACAGTCAGCAATTGGAACTCTTTTAATGACTTTTATATCTGGGCTTTTATATAACAGCAGTTGTACAACTGACACACATTAACCACTTTCATGCACCAGGCTCTCATTTCTCATGGAAGCTTCACCATGCTATATACGAAATGGGAGGTTTTGTCCTCATTTTATAGAGGAGGAGGCCCCTCCCCCGGCCTCATGAATGAAGAAGGAAGGAGGGCAGTGCTCGACTCAGCCTAAAAGATTGCTTTTGTAAAGACAGCATCTTGGGCACTCCTAAAGGAAAGACATGGGTGGCAAGCCAGCCTTCTTTGGGCAGAGAAAAGGAGGGGAAAGGTGACAGAGTTTAGATTCAAAAGCCATGGGGATCCCTTACTGGCGGAGGGACTTTGGGCAAATATTTCACCACTCTGCCCATCAGTTTCCTCCTCTGTAAAATGGGCCACCCCTGCAGGGCTGAAGTGGAGGATCTAATGAGAACATACATGTAGAAGGACACAGGAGAAGCCACCACCCATGTGGCCCTGGTCCCCTAGGCACTGCAAGCAGCAGAACTGGGTAAAAGAACTGGAGAGAAGCAGCAAGGCTGCTCTCCAAGGCTGAGGACCTCGAGGAGTCTGATCCAGTGAGTCCCGCCCTGCCCCAGGCTCTATCTCCCTCTGGCATGGTACTTCTAAGTACTGATTCCAGATTCAGACAAAGCTCAGCAACTAATTCACCATGTTACTTTGGGAAAATCATTTTGCCCCTCTGACCCTCAGTCTCTTCATCTATAAAATGGGGATAATCTACTTTGTAGTACTGTCATGAAGATTAAATGAGCTAATGGATATGAAAAATTCAGCAGTGTCTGGCATAGGGTGGGTCTACAGAATATGATAGCTCACATCACCCTTATTGTTTTTGCTCTCGGTGTCCCTCATGGGGCCTCCTCTCCCCAGTCCTGGCCCAGGAAGAGAGTCTCTACTCCTTCCACCCCTGTCCTCACCTTCTGCCACAAGAACAGAGCACAGAAACTGGATGAAAGGGAACATCTCTCTTTGCACTGGAACTACCCCAGCTTTAGGTCTTAGGGCTGATCATTAACCAATCCCTTCTCTCTGATCTCACCGCCTACAAAAGTAGGTGTCTGCCCCAGCCTCCCAGGGTCTCCTGCCTTCTGACATCCTGCAGCGTAAGGGAAAAGACTCTGAATTTCACCTATGCACCCAGTGTGTGTGACCTTGGGCAAGTCCCTTCCCTTTCCTAAGTCTCAGATTTTTCATCTTCTTTCATTTCTTTCATATAATAAGGGAATTGGCTTCCAAACTTTTTTTTTTTTTGCCACTAAACTCTTAGGAAAAAAATCTTCTGTGAGAGGCAGAACAAAAGAGGTTAAGAGTACAGGCTCTAAAGTTAACCAGCCTGGATTCAAAATACCAGCGCCACTATTTTGAAACAATGTGAACTTGGGGGCTAATTTATCCTCTTTACTTCTTCCTCCATTTCCATTCCTCTAAGTGTGGTCATCGCTAACTCAACATCACTCAGACGTAAGGCCCTAAGACAAGATCTTGCATAAAGTAAGTGCTCAATAAACGTTGGTGACTGTTACTCGGAAGCTCAGTGTATAAAGTAGATAAAGTGAGGGCAGCTGGGGTTGAAACGGGAGGAGCAGAATCTTAACTGCTTGCTGCCACCCCAACGTGATTATGATGCTGAACCATTCTCCTGGAGCCCCAAGACTCAGGGGAAACAGAAAACCAACGAAACCAACACTACAGAGTAGGAATCTACGGACTATGGCCTGTGGGCTGAATCCAGCCCACTGCCTGCCAGCTATGGTTTCAACATTTTTAAGTGGGTGAGAAAAATCAGTAGAAGAATATTTCATGATGTAAAAATCATATAAAATTTTAACTTTAGCACCCGTAAGTAAAATTTCATTGGAATACAGCCACGCCTACTCATTTACATACTGTCTACGATGCTTTCTCCCTGCAAGGGCAGAGCGTCAGCAGATGTGACAGAGTGGCAAGGAAAGCCTAAAATATTTACTGTCTTGTTATTTACAGAAAACGTTTGCCGATCCCTACTATAGAGCAACTCTTCCCTTCCATGCAGAAGACTTTGACCTTGCATAGATCCTGGCTCTGCTACTTTACCAACAATGTGATTGATTCTGGCCATATCACTTCACCTCTCTGAACCTCCCTTGTAAAGTACTTATAATCATTTCTATCTTTCAAGGCTGTCATGAAATAACATAAGCAAGACCCCTTACTGCATGATGGAGAAATACCCATATCACGGTAAATGAGATTAACTGAGATGGCACATGGATCAATATTATGATTTTTAACAGATACAATATTTATTTTTAATAAACATTTGAAAAAATATAACTAGCACACAAGCCCATGGTCTCCATAGATAATGTCTGCTGTGATAGTTGGGGTAAATGATCCAAAGCTTCTTGGGCAGATCTACCATCCGTCTCTCAACATGCACCTTCTAGTTTTGGGTCCTTGGTACCATCTCTTGCCCCCACCATCATATTCACATTCCAGCCAGCAGGAGTTGGAAGCAGGATGGGCAGGACCAGGAAATCGCACACACCGTTCCCATTCATACCCCATTGGCTATCCTTGGTCACATGACCACATCTGATTGCAAGGGAAGCTGGGGCATGCAGCCTTTTCTCCGCACAGCCATGTACCCATGTAGGGGTTATATTACTAAAAGGACAAAGGAAGAAACAATACTGTAATCTCTGCCCACACATGTACCAATTTAAAGCTACCTTTTAAAATACTTTAATGTAAATAAAAAGAAAGACATTTAAAGCAGGCAGGATGTGGCAGCCGTTCTGCCTTCTCTAACACCCTTTGGATCTCCCCACTCCCACTCCTCCACCTTGGTGGAGTTGCTCCCAGTCCCCTTCCACAGCCTTACCTGTGTTTGCTTCACTCTCCCAGCTGAGGTCCTTACGAACTTCCTTCTGGCCAAAAAGACTCTTCAGGATGGCGCTGGCAATGGGTAGCATCATGGCGGTGGAGGCTGTGTTGCTCAGCCACATGGACAGAAAGGAGGTGGTCACCATCATCCCCAGGATGAGCCTGGGCACAGAGGGAGTTAGAGGCAGATCCAGAATTCAGGTTTCCAGTCCCAGTCTGCCACCCACATGTTTATAGATGGAAAGTTAAGGTCCAAAAAGGACGAGCTAGTGATCAAGTGGAAGCTGAATCCACTTACCATGTTTACGGTAGATCTAAGGAAACTGACTCAATGTATGTAAGTGAACTGACCTCAGGTACCCAAGATAAAATAGCAAAGACACATCATCCCTGAAATTCTCCCTCCTTTGGCTCCAAATCCTTGATGGCTCCCATTGCAGAATAAAGTTGCCTTGATTTGGCACCAAGACTCTCCACTATTTCACCCTAAATGGCCTTCCCAGCCTCTTTTCCCACTTCCCCTCCCAGTCCTATCAAGCACCCCTGCTCAGGCTCTGCTGAATTTCTCACCAGCTCCCATACACACCTTGATGTCCTGCCTGCCTGCCTGCCTGCCTGCCATTGCTTGGTCCTTCCCACCCACAGGAATCTAAGTTTAGTGATTTTTTTTCTTTACATTGAACTTTTAATCCACCTGGAATTTATTTAGATGTACAGAATAAAGTCAGATCTTGGTAGATTTTGTTTCAAAGAGTAAACCAATTATTCCAAAACCCACCATTTATTGAATCCTTCCCCTCCTCATGGATTTAGATTTCTTCTGGATTATTTTTTCTGTGTTTCAAAAATCTATTTCTGAACTAGTACCATACTGTTTCCATCATTGTAACTTTAAAATATGTTTGATAGCAGACCCACCTATTCTTCAAGGTCAAATATAATTCCCCCCCAGGAAGAAGTCACCCCCTACCTCTCATGTGGGCTCATAAAGCACAGCGTGTCCCTTGGGTATCAAATTCTGCTTTGTCTTGGGATCAGTTCTACAGATGGTATCTCTCCCACAGGACTGAGAGTTCCTCCATGAGAAAACACCTAGGAGCCTAACTGCTTGGCCCAGAGCAGTTGCTAGAAAACTACAAGTTATCCAGAACCTTCTTCTCCTTAACCATCACTCCAATTCCCATCACCAAAAGGGCCCTTAAATCTATTCATTCTGTCCACCTCCACTGCCACCACCCTAGGCCATGCTGTCACCCTCTCTCATCTGGACACCCAGAACAGTCTCCTGCCTGGGCTACATCCAGTCTCTCCCCCCTCATTTGCTCCCCCCATTGCAGCCAAGAAAAAAATTTTAATGCAAATCTTGTCATGTCATTCCCCAGCTTAGAATTTTTTAAAGTAGAGGTTAAAAAAAAAAAAAAGGCAGCGATTCGTAACAGGGGTGGAGGTGGGGAATGGATATAATTTAGGGTGGAAATGAGGGGTGAAAACTGCACCCTTTATTTTACTAACATCTAGTAGAAATTAAATATTTCCTTCAGTGATAAACATAGGCAACCATGTTCAGCAGTATTAGGAGGGGACTTAGGCATCAATTAAGGTCACAGATATTTTCATAGCATATTATAATAGTTGCAGGGACACTCAAAACTGCCTCAGAACTAGTTATTAGCCTCCTTGCGAGAGCTCATAATTTATTGTATTAATAGAGGAGTACGTATAGTATTATATCACAAGTTTGTGTGTTTAAAAAATTTATTTGGATAAGTGCGTTTTGCTGTGATTGTTGTGGTTGTTTTAAATTCTATGTGTTGTGCTTTATGCATTTAAAGACATTATTCTGGGAAGGAATCCTTAAGATTCAACACATTGTAAAAAATAAATTAAAAGAATAACAATAACCCTATTTTAAAGGCCATTCAATCCTCTTAAAATAGAAGTTCAAATCCTAGCTGGGGGACCAGAGGCCCTGCAGGAATGGATCCTACCTGCTCTGTCTCTCCAAGGCCATCTTTCCATCCACTCCCTCACCTCCTCTGTCATCTTGGCTGGTAAACAGCAAACGAGGATGACAACGGCCAGCATTTACTGTGCAGGTCCAAGCTATTGTATTCATTTTACAGGCAGAAAGAGGTAAGTCACTTCCCAGAGCAGGAAAAGTGGGATTCAGCCCTGAGCAGTCTGAGTCACATTGCTAATATGGCCCCCTCTAAAACCACTGGACATGAATCCTTGAGGGTGAGGTCTGGGAACCAGCATTTCAGCTGGCTTCCCATATGATTCTTATGCACTTCTGAGAACTGCTCAAGAGCCTAGCATTGTGTCTGGCACACAGAGGGGACTCACTAAATATTTGAGAAATGAATACATAACTCATGGCGGGATATTATGAGTTTGGTGCCCTGGATGACCAGACCAGGAAGAGCGGATTTGGGCTCCAGGAGATGTGGTCCCTCCACCTTCCCACCTCTAGGCTGAGCCTATTACCTGGTCTTACCTGGCCGGCTGGACTCCAACTAGCATCAGGATCTTGAGGGCAATTCTCCGGTGCAGGTTCCACTCCTCGATGGCGCTGGCCATGATCAGACCACTGAGGAAGAGGAAGTTGGTGTCCAGGAAGTACTGGGAGCAGACCTTGTTGGAGGGCAGGATGCCCAAGAAGGGGAAGAGGATGATGGGCAGCAGGGCTGTCACGGAGAGAGGCAGGGCCTCCGTGCACCAGTACACCGCCATGAGCAGGATAATAAACAGGCAGCGACCTTCCTGCAGAAGGGAGATGCAAGCTCAGGAGAGTCAGCACAACTTGGGGTGGCAGAGGGGAAAAAGGTCAAGGAACAGGGCCCATCAAGGCACGTTCCTTGGGGAGGCAAAGGGCCCAAGGCTCGGACCCTGAGCAGCTGTTGTCACCTATCTGAGCCTCGTTTTACTCAACTGTAAAAGGGGGAAGCTATATGCGTCCATCTTACAGGACTGTTTGAGGGTCAAATGAAATACCCTGTTGTCTTAGAAGAAGACCCCGAAATGAGCATGAGTGTGAAAGTAGTTCACTTGATAGGGAATCCCAGAAAGTTGTGGAAGAGCAGTGAGGAAGTGAAACAGAAAAGGAAGCCAAGACAGAGTGTATTAATGAGAAGGTTACCACTGTGGGCAGCTGGGGCTCAATCCCAGTGGGGACCCTGGAAGACAGGGTAGGTCACGCCTCAGGAGGCAAGGAAGGGTAGTCCCCCTGGAAGGCAAGGAAGCTGGCTACCTATCTGTCAACTCTCAGTCATCACTGGCTGAGGGCTGCTCCTGGGAGCATTAACTCCCCAGCACTTCCAGCCCACCCCATGCAGCAGCCAGAGCACACACTTGTGCAGAGCATCCCGGGTTCAGTAAGAAGCAATAGGCATATGCAGAGTGGCGAGTGCCAATGGGCATGTGAGCAAAGCACCAGTAGCAACTGCCACATCCATACACGGCATTTAGCACAATGCCCAACACCTAGTTCACACTCTGTAAATAGTAATAATAATAAGTGATATTTATTGGGCTATTAAGCATCAGGTACCATTTGTTTACCACAAGATCCCAGTGAAGTAGGTACAACTACTATGACCATTTGAAGGATTGGAAGCTGGAATGCAAGGAAGTCGCTAGGAAGGCAGTGGTGGTGCAGGACAAGGCAATCTGCTCCAGAGCCAGCTCTCTTCACCAAGGACCCAACAGCTGTTATCAGCTAAATACTAAAGCTTATGACAGGTTGACAATGCAATTTCAGAGATTCAAAACAAAACGGATCAGTGGTTGCCGAGGCCGGGTTTGGACGTTTGTGTGTTGGAAAAGGGGTGGGAGGAGCCGCAAAGGAGCACATGGGAAACCTTTGGGGTGATGGAGATGCTCTGGGCCTTGACTGAGGAGGCAGTTACATGGGTTTGTACATTTGTCAAAACCTATGAAACTATTCACCTGCTGGTGAAACAAAAGGGTAATAATGATAATGTCTTCTGACACGTCAGTGTCCCACAGGATCCATAATAAATAGTGTCTTGTTATTCACTCAGTCACTGTTTGAACAGAACTGCTGACTGCCCTCCTTTGCTTTCTTATGTTCTTTGAAGGCAATGATCTTCTGTGTTCACTGTGTTTCTTGGATTTGGTGCCGTCTAGTGCCATGTTATTCTTCTTATTTCCTACTCATAATAAGTTTTGTTAACTTTATTCAGTTTCCAGAGGACATTGAACTGAATTCCATCCTAACAAGCATCAATCTAACAGAACATATCCTCAGTTACACAGGACAGGCATCAAGCTATGTGCAGACACAATGATTAATTCATCTAAAGGGGTAAGGTCCAATGGTCCAGGGAGACCAATGAGATGGCTTTGACAATTATCAAGCAAGAGATACTGGTGGTCAGGGTCTGATGGGAGCAGTGTAGGTAATTAGAAGTGGTCAAATTCTGGATCTATCTCCAAGGTATTACCCAATAGCTTTGCCATGGATCTGTTACGATGTGTAAGGCAAAAAGAGAAGCCAAGGGAAATTCCAGTCGGCCTCAGCAGGAGGAAGAAGGAGGTTGTCATTTCCTGATGGAAGATTGTGAGACACACCCACATCCATTTCCATACCTTGAAAACACATCCTGAGACTCGGCTTAACATGCCCTACGTTGGAGAATTTCCATTTCCGAAGTACCTTAGTTTTTGTATCAGTGCTCACATTTTTTCATGCAATTTACAGAACTACAAAGAGTCTATTGCAGAGCGAATTTTTGCACAACAAATCCTATTTTCCCACTTGTGTATTTTTTCTTTTGTTTCCTGTGCCTTTGCTGTCATATCCAAGAAATCATTATCAAATCCAATGTCCTAAAGTTTTGGTCCTATGTTTTCTTCTTAGATTTTTATAGTTTTAGGTCTTACGTTTAGATCATGAATACACTTGAGTTAATGTTTGTATGTGATGTTAGATAAGGGTCTAACTTCATTCTTTTGTACATGACTATCCAGTTTTCCTAGCAAAACTTGGTGAAAAGATTGTTCTTTCCCCATTGAATGGTCTTGGGATTCTTGTCAAAAATCATTTGACCATACACATGAGGGTTTATTTCTGGGCTTTCTATTCTGTTCCATTGGTCTATGTCTGTCTTTTTGCCATTACCACACTGTTTTGATTACTACAGCTTTGTGGTAAGTTTTGAAATCAGGAAGTGTGAGTCCTCCAGCTTTGTTCTTTTTCAAGGTTGTGTTGGTTAATTGGGCTCCCTTGAGGTTTCATATGAATTTTAGGGTAGGTTTTTCACTTTCTGCAAAAAAAAAAAATCATTGGGATTTTGATACAGACTGCACTGACTCTTTGGATCACTTTGGGTAGTACTGATACCTTAACAATATTGTTTCCAAACCATGATCATAAGATATGTTTCAATTTACAGCCAGTCCCTCACTTACGTCAGTTCAACTTAAGGATTTTTTTAACTATAGCATGGTGCAAAAGTGATACACGTTCAGTAGAATTTTGAATTTTGACCTTTTTCCAGGCTAATAATAGGCAGTCCTATCCTCTCTCCCGATGCTCGGCAGTGGCAGTGAGCACAGCTCCCGGTCAGCCTCACCATCTTGAGAGTAGACAGCCGATTCACTTACAACCATCCTGTACTCAGACAACCGCTCTGTTCTTCATTTTCAGTACAGTATTCAATAAATTACATGATACAGTCAACACTTTATTATAAAGTAGGCTTTGTGTTAGATGATTTGGCCCAACTCTAGGCTAATGTAAGTGAGCATGTTTAAGCTACCTTAAATGCAGGCTTAGCTACGCTAAGCTATGATTTCTGAGTAGGTTGGATGTATGAAATGCATTTTCAACTTATGATATTTTCAATTTACAATGGGTTTATTGGGATGTAGCCCCTTCACAGGTCGAGGAAGATTTGTATTTATGTCTTCTTTCACTTCTTTTAGCAATATTTTGCAGTTTTCACTGCACATGTCTTTCACCTCCTTGGTTAATTCCTAAGGATCTTATCCTTCCTGATGTTACAGTATTCCTTTTTAGATTGCTCATTATTAGTGTATAGAAATGCAACTGGTTTTTGTGTGTTGACTTTGCATCCTGCTACTTTGCTGAATTCACTTATTAGTTCTAACAGTTTTGACTTCTTGGGGTCAGGGAGGAATAACTGAAAAACAAACGAACACCACTTGAAATGAGTATTTCCATGAAGTCAGGTCATTGGACACACACTTTAAAGATCAAAAACAAAAGCAAATAACACGGAATCAAATCTCACAACTAAAAACATGCCTAAGTTTTGATTTCTCAACATCCTTTTGGTTCCTACACCAGGCAGACCCTTACATGTCAGGGGTTAGATTATCTTAGATAATCACAGATCTATAAGTACCTCTAACATCTAGCCGTTTGTCCAGGCAAAATTGTATATTGAATCACAATATAAAACAGACAAATTCTGAAAGTAAAATTAGTTAAAAAGGAGTTCTTCTGGGAGAAGGGGGATGAGGAGCTCTCCACTGGGCCCCTCTATGTCCTCCCTCCCTTCACCCACCATGACAGACCCTAATCCCTCCCTGATACAAGAGTTCAATGGAGGACAATAAGACCATCACCAACCCCCTAGCATTTCCCCAGATTTACAGATGTGAACCCTGAGACCAGAGAGGGTAAAGGTCAGATAACAGATATGTGACAGAAATGTTTCTAGAACCCCAAACTGGGGCCCCCCAGGCAGTGGAGACCCTGCATTGGGTGCATTATGGAAAAGGCCTTCTTTGCCTCAGTGGGTGCTTAGATCCAAAGGGCATCATTCCAGGGTTCTACAGAGGCAAACAGAGGAGCAGGCCCATCCCACATACTCCCAGTACAGCAAACAAAGATGCAGGAAAGTGGCAGTACAACAAACAGCACCCTGTTTACAGAAGCTCCTGGAATGTCCACGTTCTGCCAGTGGCATTTCAGGGACCACCCATAAAGCTGATGTATCCAAAGGTTCAAACCACAAAAAAGCAAAATTTGGCCAATTTAGTCTTCTTGGGGCTGGGAACCTGTGAATCTACAAAAGGACCCGAATATCAATCAGTTAGAGAGTCAGTTTCCATAGCTCAGAGAGGTCAAGTGGCTTCCCTAAGGACACACAGCTTCTGAGAGGTGGAGCCAGGTTTAAAGCAGAAGAAGATGGGATCTTGGCTCCTTGTATGGCAGAGGCATGATACCCCTTGTCTCCATCCCCTTATCCTGTTTCATTTTAATCCGTACAGCTGGTTGCTGTCACCTGTCTTAGTCTTCTGAGCAGAAGGAGAACCAACAGAATATATCTAACTACATATAAGAGGAGATTTATGATAGGATTTGGCTCAGGTAGTTATGAAGGCCAAGAAGTCTCACGATCTGCCATTTGCGAACAGGAGAACCAGGAAAGCCGTCCAAGTCCCAACGCCTGAGAATCAGGGAGCTGATGGTGTAAGTCTTAATCTGAGTCTGAAAGCCTGAGAGCCAGGAGTGCCAATGTCTGAGGGCAGGGGAAAACGGATGGCTCAGACCAAGCAGACAGAGAGGAATCTACCCTTGCACCACGTTTTCGTCTTGTTGAAGCCCTCAACTAATTGGATGATACCCACCCACCTTGGTGAGGGCAGACCTTAGTCAATTCATTCAAATATCCTCACTTGGTCCTTCCCTGGTGCTGGCATGCAGAGAGAAGCTCTCTTCTTATAAGGGCTATAATCCTATCATAGGAGCCCCCACCCTCATGAACTAA